CCTCTTCAACTAGAATAACCCTACTCCATTCATAGACGTGGACTAGCACCCTCTTCAACTAGAATAACCCTACTCCATTCATAGACGTGGACTAGCACCCTCTTCAACTAGAATAACCCTACTCCATTCATAGACGTGGACTAGCACCCTCTTCAACTAGAATAACCCTACCCCATTCATAGACGTGGACTAGCACCCTCTTCAACTAGAATAACCCTACCCCATTCATAGACGTGGACTAGCACCCTCTTCAACTAGAATAACCCTACTCCATTCATAGACGTGGACTAGCACCCTCTTCAACTAGAATAACCCTACTCCATTCATAGACGTGGACTAGCACCCTCTTCAACTAGAATAACCCTACCCCATTCATAGACGTGGACTAGCACCCTCTTCAACTAGAATAACCCTACTCCATTCATAGACGTGGACTAGCACCCTCTTCAACTAGAATAACCCTACTCCATTCATAGACGTGGACTAGCACCCTCTTCAACTAGAATAACCCTACTCCATTCATAGACGTGGACTAGCACCCTCTTCAACTAGAATAACCCTACCCCATTCATAGACGTGGACTAGCACCCTCTTCAACTAGAATAACCCGACCCCATTCATAGACGTGGACTAGCACCCTCTTCAACTAGAATAACCCGACCCCATTCATAGACGTGGACTAGCACCCTCTTCAACTAGAATAACCCGACCCCATTCATAGACGTGGACTAGCACCCTCTTCAACTAGAATAACCCGACCCCATTCATAGACGTGGACTAGCACCCTCTTCAACTAGAATAACCCTACTCCATTCATAGACGTGGACTAGCACCCTCTTCAACTAGAATAACCCGACCCCATTCATAGACGTGGACTAGCACCCTCTTCAACTAGAATAACCCGACCCCATTCATAGACGTGGACTAGCACCCTCTTCAACTAGAATAACCCTACTCCATTCATAGACGTGGACTAGCACCCTCTTCAACTAGAATAACCCTACCCCATTCATAGACGTGGACTAGCACCCTCTTCAACTAGAATAACCCTACCCCATTCATAGACGTGGACTAGCACCCTCTTCAACTAGAATAACCCTACTCCATTCATAGACGTGGACTAGCACCCTCTTCAACTAGAATAACCCTACCCCATTCATAGACGTGGACTAGCACCCTCTTCAACTAGAATAACCCTACTCCATTCATAGACGTGGACTAGCACCCTCTTCAACTAGAATAACCCTACTCCATTCATAGACGTGGACTAGCACCCTCTTCAACTAGAATAACCCGACCCCATTCATAGACGTGGACTAGCACCCTCTTCAACTAGAATAACCCTTACTCCATTCATAGACGTGGACTAGCACCCTCTTCAACTAGAATAACCCGACCCCATTCATAGACGTGGACTAGCACCCTCTTCAACTAGAATAACCCTAACTCCATTCATAGACGTGGACTAGCACCCTCTTCAACTAGAATAACCCGACCCCATTCATAGACGTGGACTAGCACCCTCTTCAACTAGAATAACCCTAACTCCATTCATAGACGTGGACTGCTTTAGCCCAATGATGATAGGATCGTCTGACTGGGGGAGTTTGGTTATTAAGAGGCAGAGACCGTCTGAACATTACATGCATCTCTTGCATATCAGCGATATATACACTGCTCAAAAAAATTAAGGGAACACTAAAATAACACATCCTAGATCTGAATGAATGAAATAATCTTATTAAATACTTTTTTCTTTACATAGTTGAATGTGCTGACAACAAAATCACACAAAAATTATCAATGGAAATCAAATGTATCAACCCATGGAGGTCTGGATTTGGAGTCACCCTCAAAATTAAAGTGGAAAACCACACTACAGGCTGATCCAACTTTGATGTAATGTCCTTAAAACAAGTCAAAATGAGGCTCAGTAGTGTGTGTGGCCTCCACGTGCCTGTATGACATCCCTACAATGCCTGGGCATGCTCCTGATGAGGTGGCGGATGGTCTCCTGAGGGATCTCCTCCCAGACCTGGACTAAAGCATCCGCCAACTCCTGGACAGTCTGTGGTGCAACGTGGCGTTGGTGGATGGAGCGAGACATGATGTCCCAGATGTGCTCAATTGGATTCAGGTCTGGGGAACGGGCGGGCCAGTCCATAGCATCACTGCCTTCCTCTTGCAGGAACTGCTGACACACTCCAGCCACATGAGGTCTAGCATTGTCTTGCATTAGGAGGAACCCAGGGCCAACCACACCAGCATATGGTCTCACAAGGGGTCTGAGGATCTCATCTCGGTACCTAATGGCAGTCAGGCTACCTCTGGCGAGCACATGGAGGGCTGTGCGGCCCCCCAAAGAAATGCCACCCCTCACCATGACTGACCCACCGCCAAACCGGTCATGCTGGAGGATGTTGCAGGCAGCAGAACGTTCTCCACGGCATCTCCAGACTCTGTCACGTCTGTCACGTGCTCAGTGTGAACCTGCTTTCATCTGTGAAGAGCACAGGGCGCCAGTGGCGAATTTGCCAATCTTGGTGTTCTCTAGCAAATGCCAAACGTCCTGCATAGTGTTGGGCTGTAAGCACAACCCCCACCTGTGGATGTCGGGCCCTCATACCACCCTCATGGAGTCTGTTTCTGACCGTTTGAGCAGACACATGCACATTTGTGGCCTGCTGGAGGTCATTTTGCAGGGCTCTGGCAGTGCTCCTCCTGCTCCTCCTTGCACAAAGGCGGAGGTAGCAGTCCTGCTGCTGGGTTGTTGCTCTCCTACGGCCTCCTCCACGTCTCCTGATGTTCTGGCCTGTCTCCTGGTAGCGCCTCCATGCTCTGGACACTACACTGACAGACACAGCAAACCTTCTTGCCACAGTTCGCATTGATGAGCTTCACTCCCTGAGCCACTTGTGTGGGTTATAGACTCCGTCTCATGCTACCACTAGAGTGAAAGCACCGCCAGCATTCAAAAGTGACCAAAACATCAGCCAGGAAGCATAGGAACTGAGAAGTGGTCTGTGGTCACCACCTGCAAAGCAGTCCTTTATTGGGGGTGTCTTGCTAATTGCCTATAATTTCCACCTGTTGTCTATTCCATTTGCACAACAGCATGTGACATTTATTGTCAATCAGTGTTGCTTCCTAAGTGGACAGTTTGATTTCACAGAAGTGTGATTGACTTGGAGTTACACTGTGTTGTTTAAGTGTTCCCTTTATTTTTTTGAGCAGTGTATATTAAAAGGTTAAATTACTATACACCTTTTTATAAGGTTGAATTTTCCCACAAGACCATATCTCCATGTTATGTTGCTTGTTTACAAAGACAGACAGAAGACATAGGTGGCCACCTGTGCTAATTAGCTATCTAGCATGCTCCGAACACCTGTGCTAATTAGCTATCTAGCATGCTCTGAACACCTGTGCTAATTAGCTATCTAGCATGCTCCGAACACCTGTGCTAATTAGCTATCTAGCATGCTCCGAACACCTGTGTTAATTAGCTGTCTAGCATGCTCTGAACACCTGTGCTAATTAGCTGTCTAGCATGCTCCGAACACTTGTGCTAATTAGCTATCTAGCATGCTCCGAACACCTGTGCTAATTAGCTGTCTAGCACGCTCCGAACACCTGTGCTAATTAGCTATCTAGCATGCTCCGAACACCTGTGCTATTTAGCTATCTAGCATGCTCTGAACACCTGTGCTAATTAGCTATCTAGCATGCGCCGAACACCTGTGCTAATTAGCTATCTAGCATGCTCCGAACACCTGTGCTAATTAGCTGTCTAGCATGCTCCGAACACCTATGTTAATTAGCTGTCTAGCATGCTCCGAACACCTGTGCTAATTAGCTATCTAGCATGCTCCGAACACCTGTCCTAATTAGCATGCTCCGAACACCTGTGCTAATTAGCTGTCTAGCATGCTCCGAACACCTATGTTAATTAGCTGTCTAGCATGCTCCGAACACCTGTGCTAATTAGCTATCTAGCATGCTCCGAACACCTGTCCTAATTAGCATGCTCCGAACACCTGTGCTAATTAGCATGCTCTGAACACCTGTGCTAATTAGCGATCTAGCATGCTCCGAACACCTGTGCTAATTAGCTGTCTAGCATGCTCCGAACACCTGTGCTAATTAGCATGCTCTGAACACCTGTGCTAATTAGCGATCTAGCATGCTCCGAACACCTGTGCTAATTAGCGATCTAGCATGCTCCGAACACCTGTGCTAATTAGCTATCTAACATGCTCCGAACACCTGTGCTAATTAGCATGCTCCGAACACCTGTGCTAATTAGCATGCTCCGAACACCTGTGCTAGTTAGCTATCTAGTATGCGCCGAACACCTGTGCTAATTAGCTATCTAGTATGCGCCGAACACCTGTGCTAATTAGCATGCTCCGAACACCTGTGCTAATTAGCGATCTAGCATGCTCCGAACACCTGTGCTAATTAGCGATCTAGCATGCTCCGAACACCTGTGCTAATTAGCTATCTAGTATGCGCCGAACACCTGTGCTAATTAGCTGTCTAGCATGCTCCGAACACCTGTGCTAATTAGCTATCTAGCATGCTCCGAACACCTGTGCTAATTAGCTATCTAGCATGCTCCGAACACTTGTGTGTAAAAGCATAACTGGGCAGGAAGCGTAGTTTGTTAACTGGAGGCACATGCAGCTTGTGGATCTGTGCATTAACTGCTACAGTAAGTGTATATTTTATTCAGCTGATATGAAGATAGAACACGTTTTTAACCCTACATATGGAGAAGGGTTTTGGAGCGCTAAATTAACCCTAACCCTTACTACTCTGACTAGACTGACTAGATTTCTCTGAAAAATATTGTTGAACCAGGGATTTCTCCAAGATCATGTCGAGAGCTGTCCAGTTAGCTCCAATTCAGACTTGAAAACGAGTCATTCCGTTGGCCTGTTGTTGATTCTCTGCTGTACTTGGTGTTCAGGAAGGCGCAGGAGACTGACCAGAGAGACATGGAGAGCAAGTAGGAGCAAAAAGACCGAGGGTCTCCAGACCAGGCAGAGGGAACTTAGTGCCAGACAGCGGTACTGGACATTTAAAGATGTCTTGGCAGGTCAGGCAGGGAAGATGGAAGAAACTGAACACCAGTTGTTCCGTACATTTCACAGGACATAAAGGACTATATATATATTCTAGTGGCTTACAGGACCATAGATGGGCCAAGACGCTAGTGGGCTAGAAAGACGTCTGACCAGGTTACAGTCAGATACCCATCAAGTTACAGAAGTTTGATAGAAATTATTAGGCCTAAATGTTGGTTTAAGATGAGCTCTAAGGAGAATTGAGATGGCTGAAGTCTGATTTTATAAATTTCTCGGTCTTCTCGAAGGTAACTCCACTTCTTGGTCGCAACATCCTCAACTCAGGAGAGCCAATGGGATGAAGCCCACAGAGGTATGTCACCCTACTAACCTAACCCCTTTGTCTGCCTATTGCTGTAGGCTTCTGAAGGAAGTGTGTCCCAGATATTTAGTGAATGATCTGTCTTCGTCCCTGTGTTGTGCAGGTATTTAGTGAATGATCGGTCTTCGTCCCTGTGTTGTGCAGGTATTTAGTGAATGATCTGTCTTCGTCCCTGTGTTGTGCAGGTATTTAGTGAATGATCTGTCTTCGTCCCTGTGTTGTGCAGGTATTTAGTGAATGATCGGTCTTCGTCCCTGTGTTGTGCAGGTATTTAGTGAATGATCTGTCTTCGTCCCTGTGTTGTGCAGGTATTTAGTGAATGATCTGTCTTCGTCCCTGTGTTGTGCAGGTATTTAGTGAATGATCTGTCTTCGTACCTGTGTTGTGCAGGTATTTAGTGAATGATCTGTCTTCGTCCCTGTGTTGTGCAGGTATTTAGTGAATGATCTGTCTTCGTCCCTGTGTTGTGCAGGTGTTCGTGCAGATATATGTCTTACGTGCAATTAGTGATGACGTTGCCCTTTGAGAGGTATTAGTGAATGATCTGTCTTCGTCCCTGTTTGTGACAGGTTAGTGAAGATCTCTTCGCCCTGTGCTCTGACAGATCTAGCTGAAGACGGTCTCGTCCTGGCTCAGGTAAGGAGTCTGTTAGCCCGGTGGCAGGTATTAGTATGCACGTCCGCCTGTTGGCAGGTTTAGGACATGTAGCTCTCGCGGAATGTAGTCTAGCCGGTGTGTAGACATGTAGCCTAATACCGTCCTCCGCCTGTAGCTGGTAGGACATGTAGCTACACGTCCCAGCCTGTAGCTGGTAGGACATGTAGCTCCGTGTGTAGCAAGACATGTAGCCTAAACACCGTCCCAGCCTGTAGCCTGGTAGAACATGGTAGCCTCTAACACCGTCCTCCAGCCTGTAGCCTGGTAGACATGTAGCCTAAACACCGTCCTCCGCCTGTAGCCTGGTGAGTAAGGGAGACATGTAGCCTAAACACCGTCCCCAGCCTGTAGCCGGTTAGAACATGTAGCCTAAACACCGTCCTCTCCAGCCTGTAGCCTGGTAGAGAACATGTAGCCTAAACACCGTCCTCCAGCCTGTAGCCGGTAGGAACATGTAGCCTAAACACCGTCCTCCAGCCTGTAGCCTGGTAGAACATGTAGCCTAAACACCGTCCTCCAGCCTGTAGCCTGGTAGAACATGTAGCCTAAACACCGTCCTCCAGCCTGTAGCCTGGTAGAACATGTAGCCTAAACACCGTCCTCCAGCCTGTAGCCTGGTAGGACATGTAGCCTAAACACCGTCCTCCAGCTGTAGCCTGGTAGACATGTAGCCTAGCGCTGTACGGTAGACATGTAGCCTAAACACCGTCCTAGCCTGTAGCCTGGTAGGACATGTAGCCTGGTAGGTACATGTTAGCCTGGTAGGACATGTAGCCTAAACACCGTCCTCAGCCTGTAGCCGGTAGGACATGTAGCCTGGTAGCTGTAGCCTGAGCTTTAGGACATGTAGCCTAAACCACCGTCCTGTAGCCTGTAGCCGTAGGACATGTAGCCTGGTAGGACATGTAGCCTGGTAGGACATGTAGCCTAAACACCTCCTGTAGCCTGGTAGGACATGTAGCCTGGTAGGACATGTAGCCTAAACACCGTCCTGTAGCCTGTAGCCCGGTAGGACATGTAGCCTGGTAGGACATGTAGCCTGGTAGGACATGTAGCCTAAACACCACGCCTGTAGCCTGTAGCCCGGTAGGACATGTAGCCTGGTAGGACATGTAGCCTAAACACCGTCCTGTAGCCTGTAGCCCGGTAGGAAGTAGCGTAGGACATGTAGCCTGGTAGGACATGTAGCCTGGTAGGACATGTAGCCTGTAGGACATGTCCCTCAGCCTGTAGCCCGGTAGGACATGTAGCCTGGTAGGACATGTAGCCTAAACACGTCCTGTAGCCTGTAGCCGGTAGGACATGTAGCCTAAACACCATCCCTCAGCCTGTAGCCCGGTAGGACATGTAGCCTGGTAGGACATGTAGCCTAAACACCGTCCTGTAGCCTGTAGCCCGGTAGGACATGTAGCCTGGTAGGACATGTAGCCTAAACACCGTCCTGTAGCCTGTAGCCCGGTAGGACATGTAGCCTGGTAGGACATGTAGCCTAAACACCATCCCTCAGCCTGTAGCCCGGTAGGACATGTAGCCTGGTAGGACATGTAGCCTAAACACCGTCCTGTAGCCTGTAGCCTGGTAGGACATGTAGCCTGGTAGGACATGTAGCCTAAACACCGTCCTGTAGCCTGTAGCCCGGTAGGACATGTAGCTGGTAGGACATGTAGCCTAAAACCCGTCCTGTAGCCTGTAGCCCGGTAGGACATGTAGCCTGGTAGGACATGTAGCCTAAACACCATCCCTCAGCCTGTAGCCCGGTAGGACATGTAGCCTGGTAGGACATGTAGCCTAAACACCGTCCTGTAGCCTGTAGCCTGGTAGGACATGTAGCCTGGTAGGACATGTAGCCTAAACACCGTCCTGTAGCCTGTAGCCTGGTAGGACATGTAGCCTGGTAGGACATGTAGCCTAAACACCGTCCTGTAGCCTGTAGCCTGGTAGGACATGTAGCCTAAACACCATCCCTCAGCCTGTAGCCATCCCCCAGCCTGTAGCCTAGCCCATAGGCCTGTAGCCATCCCCCAGCCTGTAGCCATCCCCCAGCCTGTAGCCTAGCCCATAGGCCTGTAGCCATCCCCCAGCCTGTAGCCTAGCCCATAGGCCTGTAGCCATCCCCCAGCCTGTAGCCTAGCCCATAGGCCAATATGTTTTAAGGTTTGTATCACAACTAAAGTGGCCATAAAATTATTTAAATTAAGCACATTAATCCGCTTTACAATGGGTGTAGAGCCTAACTGGCATATATAAGCAGCGCGTGAGTTTCAAGTTTGGGGAAGATAATTTTCACCATAAAAATGCACCTTTATAATAAAAGCATATTACATGCATAATTGCATTTGTGGTCACTTTTGAGAATGGTGTTTTCCACTAATGGAACATTCCCGCTAATAGCCTACTGCCATGTGCACATTGCTGTGCTTATAATGTGAAGAAATAGCCTAATAGTTTATCAACATTTTAAGCTAAACGTTCTGATCTGTCGCGTCAGCCACATTGCATATAAACGTTTTTTTTATGCTAGTGGTTGTATTAATTTGCGAAATATCGCATCCCACAACTGTCCCAAACTATGTTTGTAATATTTATTTCTCGCACAGAATAGAATAGGTCGACTTTTGTACTATGGGGGACAGTAGATTGACATAGGCTAGTGGTTTTACTGTTCGTTAGGCCGACTCATCTTGTTGGCTGACTGTGATGATGAGTTTCTCAGGTATCAAAGAATCAAGGATGCAAGAATTTACTTAGACATTCTGTGGAGATTTCATACCAAGTATTTATTGAATCACGAGCTCGTGGGTTCATCTAACGGACATGGCTTTGCCCTTCGTCAGTTGAACTAAATAGACAAAGAAGACCCTCTATCTTATATAGCCGTTGGTTCATCACTTTTTACCCCAAGTCACTATCCTAAACATCCCTCATGCTATCCTAAACATCCCTCATGCTATCCTAAACATCCCTCATGCTATCCTAAACATCCCTCATGCTATCCTAAACATCCCTCATGCTATCCTAAACATCCCTCATGCTATCCTAAACATCCCTCATGCTATCCTAAACATCCCTCATGCTATCCTAAACATCACTCATGCTATCCTAAACATCCCTCATGCTATCCTAAACATCCCTCATGCTATCCTAAACATCCCTCATGCTATCCTAAACATCCCTCATGCTATCCTAAACATCACTAATCTACCTTGACATAATGGAATGTAGTCTTCATGGCCCCAAACCACTCATCTCTTAACTCTTCCTCTGTACTCACAACACTATGACATCATTATACCATAAAAACATATCACTGACAAAAAGTAAATCTGGACAGTTCTTTCAATATCTTCAATATTCACCTCGAAATTGGATAAGGACGCGCGCAGTTGCGTCCCCAATGTGTCTGTCTTCACTTGTAGCCTGTGAGAAAGACCGATCACGTGATGGAGAGCCGTGTGAGTGAGGGATGCTTCTGATTGCGCAGCACACTCAGGGAGAAGGGCACAACGGCCACTGGCTGCAAAAGGCATGGATTATTTTAGGGTGTATTACGGCCACAAAGGGGACGCCGCCGTGAATTTCGAGGCGTTATCAAGCGCTTGTCAAATTGTGAATGAGAGACTGATGTGGTGTGTACAGCCTGCGCAAAAAACCAAGCAGAGCTCAGGGATTTCAAGCAACTTTTTTCAATCATCATTAGTCTCATCATGCAGCCTTACAATGTATTAAAAATCAACATGTAGCCCAACGTTTGTATCACTAAATAACTCTAAATTAAGCATATAGGAACACCTATTTATTTGTTAACTGCTCAACACAGAATACGTGGTCTGTCGTACGGTAATTTGGTAAAAAGCCTATTTGACATTTGCACAGTACATTGTTTTCACAAATGTACAAGTCTGCTGTTAATGATAATGCAGAGGATTTTCCCAAGGTTGCTGTGGACGCATATCCCACGGTAGTTGTTGGGGTCAAATTTGTCTCCACTTTTGTGGATTGGGGTGATCAGTCCTTGGTTCCAAATATTGGGGAAGATGCCAGAGCTAAGGATGATGTTAAATAGTTTAAGTATAGCCAGTTGGAATTTGTGGTCTGTATATTTTATCATTTCATTGAGGATACCATCAACACCACAGGACTTTTTGGGTTGGAGGGTTTGTATTTTGTGCTGTAGTTCATTCAATGTAATTGGAGAATCCAGTGGGTTCTGGTAGTCTTTAATAGTTGATTCTAAGATTTGTATTTGATCATGTATGTTTTTGCTGTTTTGTTCTTTGTTATAGTGCCAAAAATATTGGAGAAGTGGTTTACCCATAAATCTCTGTTTTGGATAGATAGCTCTTTGTGTTCTTTCTTTAGTGTTTTCCAATTTTCATTGAGCTGAGTTCTGATGTGCTGTATTGTTTTAGTGATTTAGCTGAGCTGGTAGAGCACGGCGCTTATAACGCCAAGGTAGTGGGTTCGATCCCCGGGACCACCCATACACCAAAAAAAAATGTATGCACGCATGACTGTAAGTCGCTTTGGATAAAAGCGTCTGCTAAATGGCATATTATTATATATATTACCATAGTGAAGGCATAGGCTCAGGTTTTCTGGGTCTCTGTGTTTTTGGTTGGATAAGTTTCTTCATTTCTTTCTTAGGTTTTTGCATTCTTCAAACCATTTGTCATTGTTTTAATTTTGTTAGGTTGTCTGCTTGAAATTTGTACTGTTTAGGATTTCTACTGCCAAGTTTACACCTTCACTATTAGTGACATTTTTTGTCCAGAAAGTTGTCTAAAAGGGATTTCATTTGTTTTTGGCTAATTGTTTTTTTGGTAGGGTTCTACACTACTTTCCTTCCGTCAGTAGCATTTCTTAATATTATATAGTTCCTTTAGCTTTGATGCCTCATGATTTGAGTACTGCTCTGTTCAAGTAGTGTGATTCTGCTGTGATCTGATAGGGGTGTCATTGGGCTGACTGTGAACGCTCTGAGAGACTCTGGGTTGAGGTCAGTGATAAAGTATTCTACAGTACTACTGCCAAGAGATGAGCTATAGGTGTACCACCCATAGGAGTCCACTCAACGCCTACCATTGACTATGTACAGACCCAGCGTGCTGCAGGAGTTATGACCTGTTTTTGTTGGTTGTTTTGTCATAGTTGTCTGGGAGGGCATATTTGGGAGGGAATGCTGTCACCTCCAGGTAGGTGTTTGTCCCCCTGTGTGCTGAGGGTGTCAGGTTCTTGTCCAGTTCCGGCATTTGGGTCGCCACAGACTAGTACATGTCCCTAGGCCTGGAAATGGTTGATCTCCCCCTCTAGGACGGAGAAGCTGTCTTCATTAAAGTATGGGGATTCTAGTGGGGGGATATAGGTAGCACACAGGAGGACATTTTTTTTTCTTCCTCTGAGATAATTTCCTGTGGAATTTCTAGCCAAATGTTCCTGTTTTGATTAATTTAATAGAGTGGGTTAGGTCTGCTCTATACCAAATTAGCATACCCCCTGAGTCCCTTCCCTGTTTCACACCTGGTAGTTTGGTGGATGGGACTACCAGCTCTCTGTAACCTAGAGGGCAACCAGTGGGTCCGTCTCCTCTACACCATGTTTCTTGTTTTAGGTTTTATTTATTCGCACCAAAGAAAAGAAGTGAAAGACAAAACGGTACAGATAACAACAGGTATAAACGCTGTGCAGGTGAGGTTGGAAACCCAAAAGGGCTGATATGAAAACCACACCTCAAATAGAAGTACAAAGTTTGTTCAATCAAACAAAGCATATTAATTAGGAATTGTACATGATATACCTAGTATACAAGAAAACCATGTTGGATTATGTGTGTGTGAGAGTTAGTCTTCATGGAGGTGATTATTGGGTAGCTTGGTTCATCAGGCTGACCCCCAGTCTTCATGGAGGAGATTACTGAGTAGTTTGGTTCATCAGGCTGACCCCCAGTCTCCATGGAGGAGATTACTGAGTAGTTTGGTTCATCAGGCTGACCCCCAGTCTATATGGAGGAGATTACTGAGTAGTTTGGTTCATCAGGCTGACCCCCCAGTCTATATGGAGGAGATTACTGGGTAGTTTGGTTCATCAGGCTGACCCCCAGTCTCCATGGAGGAGATTACTGAGTAGTTTGGTTCATCAGGCTGACCCCCAGTCTTCATGGAGGAGATTACTGAGTAGTTTGGTTCATCAGGCTGACCCCCCAGTCTTCATGGAGGAGATTAACTGAGTAGTTTGGTTCATCAGGCTGACCCCCAGTCTCATGGAGGAGATTACTGAGTAGTTTGGTTCATCAGGCTGACCCCCAGTCTCATGGAGGAGATTACTGAGTAGTTTTGGTTCATCAGGCTGACCCCCAGTCTCCATGAGGAGATTACTGAGTAGTTTGGTTCATCAGGCTGACCCCCAGTCTTCATGGAGGAGATTACTGATAGTTTGGTTATCAGGCCTGACCCCCCAGTCTTCATAGAGGAGATTACTGAGTAGTTTGGTTCATCAGGCTGACCCCCCAGTCTTCATGGAGGAGATTACTGGGTAGTTTGGTCATCAGGCTGACCCCCCAGTCTTCATGGAGGAGATTACTGAGTAGTTTGGTTCATCAGGGCCTGACCCCCCAGTCTTCATGGAGGAGATTACTGAGTAGTTTGGTTCATCAGGCTGACCCCCAGTCTCCATGGAGGAGATTACTGGGTAGTTTTGGTTCATCAGGCTGACCCCCCAGTCTTCATGGAGGAGATTACTGAGTAGTTTTGGTTCATCAGGCTGACCCCCCCAGTCTTCATGGAGGAGATTACTGAGTAGTTTGGTTCATCAGGCTGACCCCCAGTCTCCATGGAGGAGATTACTGAGTAGTTTGGTTCATCAGGCTGACCCCCAGTCTCCATGGAGGAGATTACTGAGTAGTTTGGTTCATCAGGCTGACCCCCAGTCTCCATGGAGGAGATTACTGAGTAGTTTGGTTCATCAGGCTGACCCCCAGTCTCCATGGAGGAGATTACTGAGTAGTTTGGTTCATCAGGCTGATCCCCAGTCTTTGGTTCATCAGGCTGACCCCCAGTCTTTGGTTCATCAGGCTGACCCCCAGTCTTCATGGAGGAGATTACTGAGTAGTTTGGTTCATCAGGCTGACCCCCAGTCTCCATGGAGGAGATTACTGAGTAGTTTGGTACATCAGGCTGACCCCCAGTCTTTGGTTCATCAGGCTGACCCCCAGTCTTTGGTTCATCAGGCTGACCCCCCAGTCTTCATGGAGGAGATTACTGAGTAGTTTGGTTCATCAGGCTGACCCCCCAGTCTCCATGGAGGAGATTACTGAGTAGTTTGGTTCATCAGGCTGACCCCCAGTCTCCATGGAGGAGATTACTGAGTAGATTGGTTCATCAGGCTGACCCCCCAGTCTCCATGGAGGAGATTACTGAGTAGTTTGGTTCATCAGGCTGACCCCCCAGTCTTCATGGAGGAGATTACTGAGTAGTTTGGTTCATCAGGCTGATCCCCAGTCTCCATGGAGGAGATTACTGAGTAGTATGGTTCATCAGGCTGACCCCCAGTCTTCATGGAGGAGATTACTGAGTAGTTTGGTTCATCAGGCTGACCCCCAGTCTTCATGGAGGAGATTACTGAGTAGTTTGGTTCATCAGGCTGACCCCCAGTTTTCATGGAGGAGATTACTGAGTAGTTTGGTTCATCAGGCTGACCCCCCAGTCTTTGGTTCATCAGGCTGACCCCCCAGTCTTCATCAGGCTGACCCCCCAGTCTTTGGTTCATCAGGCTGACCCCCCAGTCTTCATCAGGCTGACCCCCCGTCTTTGGTTCATCAGGCTGACCCCCCAGTCTTTGGTTCATCAGGCTGACCCCCCAGTCTTTGGTTCATCAGGCTGACCCCCAGTCTTCATCAGGCTGACCCCCAGTCTTCATCAGGCTGACCCCCAGTCTTTGGTTCATCAGGCTGACCCCAAGTCTTCATCAGGCTGACCCCCCCAGTCTTTGGTTCATCAGGCTGACCCCCAGTCTTCATCAGGCTGACCCCCAGTCTTCACCAGGCGACCCCCAGTCTTCACCAGGCTGACCCCCAGTCTTCACCAGGCTGACCCCCAGTCTTCATCAAGGCTGACCCCCCCAGTCTTCATCAGGCTGACCCCCCCCAGTCTTCATCAAGGCTGACCCCCCAGTCTTCATCAGGCTGACCCCCCCAGTCTTCATCAGGCTGAACCCCCAGTCTTCATCAGGCTGACCCCCCATTCTTTGGTTCATCAGCATCTTCATCAGGCTGACCCCCCAGTCTTCATCAGGCTGACCCCCCAGTCTTCATCAGGCTGACCCCCCAGTCTTCATCAGGCTGACCCCCCAGTCTTCATCAGGGCCCAGTCTGACCCCCCAGTCTTCATCAGGCTGACCCCCCAGTCTTTGGTTCATCAGGCTGACCCCCCAGTCTTCATCAGGCTGACCCCCAGTCTTCATCAGGCTGACCCCCAGTCTTCATCAGGCTGACCCCCAGTCTTCATCAGGCTGACCCCCCAGTCTTCATCAGGCTGACCCCCCAGTCTTCATCAGGCTGACCCCCCAGTCTTCATCAGGCTGACCCCCCAGTCTTCATCAGGCTGACCCCCAGTCACAGGGACCCCAGTCTTCATCAGGCTGGACCCCCAGTCTTCATCAGCTGACCCCCAGTCTCATCAGGCTGACCCCCCAGTCTTCATCAGGCTGACCCCCCCAGTCTTCATCAGGCTGACCCCCCAGTCTTCATCAGGCTGACCCCCCAGTCTTCATCAGGCTGACCCCCAGTCTTCATCAGGCTGACCCCCCAGTCTTTGTTTCATCAGGCTGACCCCCCAGTCTTTGTTCATCAGGCTGACCCCCAGTCTTCATCAGGCTGACCCCCAGTCTTCATCAGGCTGACCCCCCAGTCTTCATCAGGCTGACCCCCAGTCTTCATCAGGCTGACCCCCCAGTCTTCATCAGGCTGACCCCCAGTCTTCATCAGGCTGACCCCCAGTCTTCATCAGGCTGACCCCCCAGTCTTCATCAGGCTGCCACCCCCAGTCTTCATCAGGCTGCCCCCCCAGTCTTCATCAGGCTGACCCCCCAGTCTTCATCAGGCTGACCCCCCAGTCTTCGCTGGAAGTTATTGAGGGATGCCTCCCGAGTGCATCTAGTGGTGCAGTGGTCTAAGGCTACATCCCGCCGTCGCTCTAGTGCGCTGTGGTCTAAGGTAATCCCTGCCGCGCTAGTGGTGCAGTGTCTAAGGCTCACCCCCGGCGCTCTATGGTGCATGGTCAAGGCTACATCCCCCGGCGCTCTAGTGGTCAGTGGTCTAAGGCTACATCCCTGGCTGCGCTCTAGTGGCGCTTTTGGTCTAAGGCTACATCCCTGCCGGCGCTCTAGTGCGCTGTGGTTAAGGCTACTCCCTCCCGGCGCTCTAGTGGCGCTGTGGTCTAAGGCTAATTCCTGCCGCGTCTAGTGCGCTGTGTCTAAGCTACATCCCTGCCGGCGCTCTAGTGGCGGTGGCTAAGGCTACATCCCTGCCGCCGTCTTCTAGTGCTGCAGTGGTCATAGGCTACCCGCCGGCTCTAGTGGCGCTGGGTCTAAGGCTACTCCCGCCGGCGCTTAGTGCGTGTGGTCAAAGGCTAATCCCTGCCGGCGCTCTAGTGGCGCTGTGTCATAAGGCTAATCCCTGCCGGCTCTAGGGTTGCAGTGTTGAAGGCACATCCCTGCCGGCGCTCTAGTGGCGCTGTGGTCTAAGGCTACATCCCTGCCGGCGCTCTAGTGGCGCTGTGGTCTAAGGCTACATCCCTGCCGGCGCTCTAGTGGCGCTGTGGTCTAAGGCTACATCCCTGCCGGCGCTGTAGTGGGTGCAGTGGTCTAAGGCTACATCCCTGCCGGCGCTCTAGTGGCGCTGTGGTCTAAGGCTACATCCCTGCCGGCGCTCTAGTGGCGCTGTGGTCTAAGGCTACATCCCTGCCGGCGCTCTAGTGGCGCTGTGGTCTAAGGCTACATCCTGCCGGCGCTCTAGTGGCGTGTGGTCTAAGGCTACATCCCTGCCGGCGCTCTAGTGGTGCAGTGGTCTAAGGCTACATCCCTGCCGGCGCTCTAGTGGTGCAGTGGTCTAAGGCTACATCCCTGCCGGCGCTCTAGTGGCGCGTGGTCTAAGGCTACATCCCTGCCGGCGCTCTATGGCGCTGGTCAAAGGCTAATCCCTCGGCGCTCTAGTGGTGCGGTCTAAGGCTACATCCCTGCCGGCGCTCTAGTGGCGCTGTGGTCTAAGGCTACATCCTGCCGGCGCTCTAGTGGCGCTGTGGTCTAAGGCTACATCCCTGCCGGCGCTCTAGTGGCGCTGTGGTCTAAGGCTACATCCCTGCCGGCGCTCTAGTGGCGCTGTGGTCTAAGGCTACATCCCTGCCGGCGCTCTAGTGGTGCAGTGGTCTAAGGCTACATCCCTGCCGGCGCTCTAGTGGCGCTGTGGTCTAAGGCTACATCCCTGCCGGCGCTCTAGTGGCGCTGTGGTCTAAGGCTACATCCCTGCCGGCGCTCTAGTGGCGCTGTGGTCTAAGGCTACATCCCTGCCGGCGCTCTAGTGGCGCTGTGGTCTAAGGCTACATCCCTGCCGGCGCTCTAGTGGCGCTTTGGTCTAAGGCTACATCCCTGCCGGCGCTGTAGTGGTGCAGTGGTCTAAGGCTACATCCCTGCCGGCGCTCTAGTGGTGCAGTGGTCTAAGGCTACATCCCTGCCGGCGCTCTAGTGGTGCAGTGGTCTAAGGCTACATCCCTGTCGGCGCTCTAGTGGTGCAGTGGTCTAAGGCTACATCCCTGCCGGCGCTCTAGTGGCGCTGTGGTCTAAGGCTACATCCCTGCCGGCGCTCTAGTGGCGCTGTGGTCTAAGGCTACATCCCTGCCGGCGCTCTAGTGGCGCTGTGGTCTAAGGCTACATCCCTGCCGGCGCTCTAGTGGCGCTGTGGGTCTAAATCTACATCCCTGCCGGCGCTCTAGTGGCGCTGTGGTCTAAGGCTACATCCCTGCCGGCGCTCTAGTGGCGCTTGTGGTCTAAGGCTACATCCCTGCCGGCGCTCTAGTGGCGCTGTGGTCTAAGTCTACATCCCTGCCGGCGCTCTAGTGGCGCTGTGGTCTAAGGCTACAATCCCTGCCGGCGCTCTAGTGGCGCTGTGGTCTAAGGCTACATCCCTGCCGGCCGCTCTAGTGGCGCTGTGGTCTAAGGCTACATCCCTGCCGGCGCTCTAGTGGCGCTGTGGTCTAAGGCTACATCCCTGCCGGCGCTCTAGTGGCGCTGTGGTCTAAGGCTACATCCCTGCCGGCGCTCTAGTGGCGCTGTGGTTAAGGCTACATCCCTGCCGGCGCTCTAGTGGGCTGTGGTCTAAGGCTACATCCCTGCCGGCGCTCTAGTGGCGCTGTGGTCTAAGGCTACATCCCTGCCGGCGCTCTAGTGGCGCTGTGGTCTAAGGCTACATCCCTGCCGGCGCTCTAGTGGTGCAGTGGTCTAAGGCTACATCCCTGCCGGCGCTCTAGTGGTGCAGTGGTCTAAGGCTACATCCCTGCCGGCGCTCTAGTGGCGCTGTGCCACTAGAGATCCTGGTTCGAATCCAGGCTCTGTCTAGCCGGCCGCGACCGGGAGACCCATGGGGCGGCGCACAATTGGCCCAGCGTCGTCCAGGGTAGGGGAGGGAATGGCCGGCAGGGATGTAGCTCAGTTGGTAGAGCAACGCCAGGGTTGTGGGTTCGATTCCCATGGGGGGGGTATGAAAAAAATAAAATGTATGTATGCACTCACTAACTGTAAGTCGCTCTGGATAAGAGCGTCTGCTAAATGACCCCAAAAAAAGAGGTTTTGGCAATGTGAAGATAAGAATTCCAGAGTATGGTACCTCTGTATCTGATAGAGAATTGACTATGTGAGGTGTGGCAGTGGGGAGGGTGAAGGTTATCGCAGTGTCTTGTGTTATATAGATGGATTTCAGAATTAACCTGGAAGAATCCGTTGAAGGGTTTAGGTAAACTGACTGGGAGGTGTGAGTATTTGTAGATGCATAGACACTTTACCCCAACCTTTCCCCCGACCTTTACCCCTACCTACATGTACAAATTACCTCAACTAACCTGTACCCCCACACATTGACTCTGTACCGGTACCCCCTGTATTGGCGCTTGCAACGCCAGGGTTGTGGTTTCGTTTCCCACGGGGGGCCAGTATGAAAATGTATGCACTCACTAACTGTAAGTCGCTCTGGATAAGAGCGTCTGCTAAATGACTAAAATGTAAATGTATATACAGTTGAAGTCGGAAGTTTACATACACTTAGGTTGGAGTCATTAAAACTCGTTTTTCAACCACTCCACAAATTTCTTGTTAACAAACTATAGTTTTGGCAAGTCGGTTAGGACATCTACTTTGTGCATGACACAAGTAATTTTTCCTACAATTGTTTACAGACAGATTATTTCACTTATAATTTACTGTATCACAATTCCAGTGGGTCAGAAGTTTACATACACTAAGTTGACTGTGCCTTTAAACAGCTTGGAAAATTCCAGAAAATGATGTCATGGCTTTAGAAGCTTCTGATCAGCTAATTGACATCATTTGAGACAATTGGAGGTGTACCTGTGGATGTATTTCAAGGCCTACCTTCAAACTCAGTGCCTCTTTGCTTGACATCATGGGAAAATCAAAAGAAATCAGCCAAGACCTCAGAATAAAAATTGTAGACCTCCACATGTTAGTCTCCTGAGTGGCGCAGTGGTCTAAGGCACTGCATCGCAGTGTTAACTGTGCCACTAGAGATCCTGGTTCGAATCCAGGCTCTGTCGCAGCCGGCCGCGACCGGGAGACTCATGGGCGGCGCACAATTGGCCCAGCGTCGTCCAGGGTAGGGGAGGGAATGGCCGGCAGGGATGTAGCTCAGTTGGTAGAGCATGGCGTTTGCAACGCCAGGGTTGTGGGTTCGATTCTCACGGGGGGCCAGTATAAAAAAAAAGATGTATTCACTAACTGTAAGTCGCTCTGGATAAGAGCGTCTGCTAAATGACTAAAATGTAAAATGTAAATGTAATGGTTCATCCTTTGGAGTAATTTCCAAATGCCTGAAGGTACCACGTTCATCTGTACAAACAATAGTATGCAAGTATAAACACCATGGGACCACGCAACCGTCATACCGCTCAGGAAGGAGACGCGTTCTGTCTCCTAGAGATGAACTTACTTTGGTGCGAATAGTGCAAATCAATCCCAGAACAACAGCAAAGGACCTTGTGCGGAGGAAACAGGTACAAAAGTATCTATATCCACAGTAAAACAAGTCCTATATCGACATAACCTGAAAGGCCGCTCAGCAAGGAAGAAGCCACTGCTCCAAAACCACCATAAAAAAGCCAGACTACGGTTTGCAACTGCACATGGGGACAAAGATCGTACTTTTGGGGGAAATGTCCTCTGGTCTGATTAAACAAAAATAGTACTGTTTGGCCATAATGACCATCGTTATGTTTGGAGGAAAAAGGGGGGTCTTGCAAGCCGAAGAACACCATCCCAACCGTGAAGCACGGGGGTGGCAGCATCATGCTGTGGGGGTGCTTTGCTGCAGGAGGGACTGGTGCACTTCACGAAATAGATGGCATCATGAGGAAGGAAAATTGTGGATATACTGAAGCAACGTCTCAAGACATCAGTCGGGAAGTTTAAAGCTTGGTCGCAAATGGGTCTTCCAAATGGACAATGACCCCAAGCATACTTCCAAAGCTGTGGCAAAATGGCTTAAAGACAACAAAGTCAAGGTATTGGAGTGGCCATCACAAAGCCTTGACCTCTATCCTATAGAAAATGTGTGGGCAGAACTGAAAAAGCGTGTGCGAGCAAGGAGGCCTACAAACCTGACTCAGTTACACCAGCTCTGTCAGGAGGAATGGGCCAAAATTCACCCAACTTATTGTGGGAAGCTTGTGGAAGGCTACCCGACACGTTTGACCCAAGTTACATTTACATTTTAGTCATTTAGCAGACGCTCTTATCCAGAGTGAGTGCATACATTTATTATTTATTTTTCATACTGGCCCCCTGTGGGAATCGAACCCACAACCCTGGCGTTACAAACGCCCTGCTCTACCAACTGAACCCTGCTCTACCAACTGAGCCCTGCTCTACCAACTGGATTCCCAGTGGAAATCGAACCCACAACCCTGGCGTTGCTGATCTACAGGGGCCCGTGTAGCCCGTGTGCTGCCACCGCCATGCTTCACCGTAGGGATGGTGCCAGGTTTCCTCCAGACGTGATGCTTGGCATTCAGGCCAAAGAGTTCAATCTTGGTTTCATCAGACCAGAGAATCTTGTTTCTCATGGTCTGAGAGTCTTTAGGTGCCTTTTTACAAACTCCAAGCGGGCTGTCATGTGCCTTTTACTGAGGAGTGACTTCCGTCTGGCCACTCTACCATAAAGGCCTGATTGGTGGAGTGCTGCAGAGATAGTTGTCCGTCTGGAAGGTTCTCCCATCTCCACAGAGGAACTCTGGAGCTCTGTCAGTGACCATTGGGTTGTTGGTAACCTCCCTGACCAAGGCCCTTCTCCCCCGATTGCTCAGTTTGGCCGGGCGGCCAGCTCTAGGAAGAGTCTTGGTGGTTCCAAACTTCTTCCATTTAAGAATGATGGAGGGCACTGTGTTCTTGGGGACCTTCAATGCTGCGACATTTTTTGGTACCCTTCCCCAGAACTGCGCCTCGACACAATCCTGTCTCGGAGCTCTACAGACAATTCCTTCGACATCATGGCTTGGTTTTGCTCTGACATGCACTGTCAACTGTGGGACCTTTTATATAGACAGGTGTGTGTGCCTTTCCAAATCATGCCCAATCAACTGAATTTACCACAGGTGGACTCCAAGTTGTAGAAACATCTCAAGGATGATCAATGCACCTGAGCATGCACCCAAGCTCAATTTCGAGTCTTAGGGCAAAGGGTCTGAATACTTAGCAAACATTTCAAAACTTGTTTTCGCTTTGTCATTATTGGGTAGTGTGTGTAGATTGAGTAAAAAAATATTGAAATCAATTTTAGAATAAGGCTGTAACGTAACAATGTGGAAAAGTCAAGGGGTCTGAATACTTTCTGAATGCACTGTACCTCTTAGGTTGCAGGATGGGGCTTGGGTGGGTGTTGGGCCTGTTAGGGTTAGGGTTAGGGCTCTGCTCACGGCCCAGGCATATGGGTTAGGGTTAGGGTTAGGGCTCTGCTCACGGCCCAGGGTTAGGGTTAGGGTTAGGGCTAGGGCTCTGCTCACGGCCCAGGCATATGGGTTAGGGTTAGGGTTAGGGCTCTGCTCACGGCCCAGGGTTAGGGTTAGGGTTAGGGCTAGGGCTCTGCTCACGGCCCAGGCATATGTGCGGCTGTCATGTTGAGGTCCTTGCTGCAAGTTATCTCTGGATGGGTGAAGAGATGGTTATAAATCTTTAGTCTACATTACTGTATGTCAGAGCATTTCAGGTACTTTTCTTTCCATCTGCCTCCTCTCTCTATTCTAGCTCTGTCTCTCTCTCTGTCTCTCTCTCTGTCTCTCTCTGTCTCTGTGTCTCTGTGTGTAGTACAAATCCCATTATTGTGGAAGCACCTCGTCTAAGAGTATGAATTAGCCTGTTTGAGAAGGTTTGAATCCTAAGCAACCTGCCTACACATAGTTTGAAGTACAATAGACCAACACAGCTACTGTAGTAGGTCAAAGCTGTGTGCTGGAAAACCTTGGTAGAGCATGGGTGGAATAGGTATTGTGGTGCTCATGTGGATTTCCTTTTATTTTTTGGCTTCAGACCATTGCCTACTTCTCACTTAAAACAGATTGTTTCTAATATCTAATAGGGCTGTGACGATAAATCTGAGTGTTTTGTTTCCTTGTCACAATACCAACGAGTATCGCGATACTGGTATCCTCCCAGGCCTAATATCTAACTCTCTGCTCCTTAGGGTGGTGGCTGAGAAGGGAACGGAGGTGATGTTCTCCAAGCCCAGGAAGTGGATCCGTTCGGGGTGTTCAGGGGCGCTGGGGTACGTGGACATCCAGACCCTGGCTGAGGGGACGTGTGGATACGACCTCAACGACACTGACGTGGCCTGGCTGGAGCTCATCAACCACCAGTTCTCTCAGATGGGTCAGTAGATTCACCCCCTCAACTACCGCTGTACAGCGCACTGTGGAGTGTTGACTGTCATGGTTCGGCACTGTGTAGTGTTGACTGTGTCATGGTTCAGCACTGTGTAGTGTTGACTGGTCATGGTTCGGCACTGTGTAGTGTTGACTGTGTCATGGTTCAGCACTGTGGAGTGTTGACTGGTGTCATGGTTCAGCACTGTGTAGTGTTGACTGGGTCATGGTTCAGCACTGTGTAGTGTTGACTGTGTCATGGTTCAGCACTGTGTAGTGTTGACTGGGTCATGGTTCAGCACTGTGTAGTGTTGACTGTGTCATGGTTCAGCACTGTGTCGTGTTGACTGTGTCATGGTTCAGCACTGTGGAGTGTTGACTGTGTCATGGTTCAGCACTGTGTAGTGTTGACTGGGTCATGGTTCAGCACTGTGTAGTGTTGACTGTGTCATGGTTCAGCACTGTGTAGTGTTGACTGGGTCATGGTTCAGCACTGTGTAGTGTTGACTGTGTCATGGTTCGGCACTGTGTAGTGTTGACTGTGTCATGGTTCGGCACTGTGTAGTGTTGACTGTGTCATGGTTCAGCACTGTGTAGTGTTGACTGTGTCATGGTTCAGCACTGTGTAGTGTTGACTGTGTCATGGTTCGGCACTGTGTAGTGTTGACTGTGTCATGGTTCGGCACTGTGTAGTGTTGACTGTGTCATGGTTCGGCACTGTGTAGTGTTGACCGTGTCATGGTTCAGCACTGTGTCATGGTTCAGCACTGTGTCATGGTTCAGCACTGTGTAGTGTTGACCGTGTCATGGTTCAGCACTGTGTCATGGTTCAGCACTGTGGAGTGTTGACTGTGTCATGGTTCGGCACTGTGTAGTGTTGACTGTGTCATGGTTCGGCACTGTGTAGTGTTGACTGTGTCATGGTTCGGCACTGTGGAGTGTTGACTGTGTCATGGTTCGGCACTGTGTCGTGTTGACTGTGTCATGGTTCGGCACTGTGTCGTGTTGACTGTGTCATGGTTCAGCACTGTGTAGTGTTGACTGTGTCATGGTTCAGCACTGTGTAGTGTTGACTGTGTCATGGTTCAGCACTGTGTATTGTTGACTGTGTCATGGTTCGGCACTGTGTAGTGTTGACTGTGTCATGGTTCGGCACTGTGTAGTGTTGACTGTGTCATGGTTCGGCACTGTGTAGTGTTGACTGTGTCATGGTTCAGCACTGTGTAGTGTTGACTGTGTCATGGTTCAGCACTGTGTAGTGTTGACTGTGTCATGGTTCAGCACTGTGTAGTGTTGACTGTCATGGTTCAGCACTGTGTAGTGTTGACTGTGTCATGGTTCAGCACTGTGTAGTGTTGACCGTGTCATGGTTCAGCACTGTGTAGTGTTGACTGTGTCATGGTTCAGCACTGTGTAGTGTTGACTGTGTCATGGTTCAGCACTGTGTCATGGTTCAGCACTGTGTAGTGTTGACCGTGTCATGGTTCAGCACTGTGTCATGGTTCAGCACTGTGTAGTGTTGACTGTGTCATGGTTCAGCACTGTGTAGTGTTGACTGTGTCATGGTTCAGCACTGTGTAGTGTTGACTGTGTCATGGTTCAGCACTGTGTAGTGTTGACTGGTCATGGTTCAGCACTGTGTAGTGTTGACTGTGTCATGGTTCAGCACTGTGTAGTGTTGACTGTGTCATGGTTCAGCACTGTGTAGTGTTGACTGTGTCATGGTTCAGCACTGTGTCATGGTTCAGCACTGTGTAGTGTTGACCGTGTCATGGTTCAGCACTGTGTAGTGTTGACTGTGTCATGGTTCAGCACTGTGTCGTGTTGACGGTCTGTTCTCCAGGCATGGTGCTGCTGGACGAGGTGACCATGGAGAGAGGGTTGGGCTCAGACTGTCCTATAATCGATAGATAGTACTATGATACTATAATAGTGCGACATTTTGGCAACAGCATTTGTTCTACTTAACTAGTCAGATGACCTCATCTCTGCGTGCAGTTTTAAGGTCGTTTCTGGAACCATTGCAAACTAGCGTTAGCGCAATGACTGGAAGTCTACAGGAACGACTAGCATGTCACACTATCCCTTTAATGTTATCTGTTCCCCAGGCATAGCTGTGCTGGATGAGACGACTATGGAGAGAGGGTTAGGGGTTAGTCTAGACTGGACTATAATAGACCATCATGGAGAGAGGGTTAGGGGTTAGTCTAGACTGTACTATAATATATATAATAGACCACCATGGAGAGAGGGTTAGGGGTTAGTCTAGACTGGACTATAATAGACCATCATGGAGAGAGGGTTAGGGGTTAGTCTAGACTGTACTATAATAGACCACCATGGAGAGAGGGTTAGGGGTTAGTCTAGACTGGACTATAATAGACCATCATGGAGAGAGGATTAGGGGTTAGTCTAGACTATAATATATATAATAGACCACCATGGAGAGAGGGTTAGGGGTTAGTCTAGACTGGACTATAATATATATAATAGACCACCATGGAGAGAGGGTTAGGGGTTAGTCTAGACTGTACTATAATAGACCATCATGGAGAGAGGGTTAGGGGTTAGTCTAGACTGGACTATAATAGACCATCATGGAGAGAGGGTTAGGGGTTAGTCTAGACTGGACTATAATATATATAATAGACCACCATGGAGAGAGGGTTAGGGGTTAGTCTAGACTGTACTATAATAGACCATCATGGAGAGAGGGTTAGGGGTTAGTCTAGACTGTACTATAATAGACCATCATGGAGAGAGGGTTAGGGGTTAGTCTAGACTGTACTATAATAGACCATCATGGAGAGAGGGTTAGGGGTTAGTCTAGACTGTACTATAATAGACCATCATGGAGAGAGGGTTAGGGGTTAGTCTAGACTGGACTATAATAGACCACCATGGAGAGAGGGTTAGGGGTTAGTCAAGACTGGACTATAATATATATAATAGACCATCATGGAGAGAGGGTTAGGGGTTAGTCTAGACTGTACTATAATAGACCACCATGGAGAGAGGGTTAGGGGTTAGTCTAGACTGGACTATAATAGACCATCATGGAGAGAGGGTTAGGGGTTAGTCTAGACTGTACTATAATAGACCATCATGGAGAGAGGGTTAGGGGTTAGTCTAGACTGGACTATAATATATATAATAGACCACCATGGAGAGAGGGTTAGGGGTTAGTCTAGACTGGACTATAATATATATAATATACCATCATGGAGAGAGGGTTAGGGGTTAGTCTAGACTGGACTATAATATATATAATAGACCACCATGGAGAGAGGGTTAGGGGTTAGTCTAGACTGGACTATAATATATATATAGACCATCATGGAGAGAGGGTTAGGGGTTAGTCTAGACTGGACTATAATATATATAATAGACCACCATGGAGAGAGGGTTAGGGGTTAGTCTAGACTGGACTATAATAGACCACCATGGAGAGAGGGTTAGGGGTTAGTCTAGACTGGACTATAATAGACCATCATGGAGAGAGGGTTAGGGGTTAGTCTAGACTGTACTATAATATATATAATAGACCATCATGGAGAGAGGGTTAGGGGTTAGTCTAGACTGTACTATAATATATATAATAGACCATCATGGAGAGAGGGTTAGGGGTTAGTCTAGACTGTACTATAATATATATAATAGACCATCATGGAGAGAGGGTTAGGGGTTAGTCTAGACTGTACTATAATAGACCACCATGGAGAGGGGGTTAGGGGTTAGTCTAGACTGTACTATAATATATATAATAGACCTCCATGGAGAGAGGGTTAGGGGTTAGTCTAGACTGTACTATAATAGCCCATCATGGAGAGAGGGTTAGGGGTTAGTCTAGACTGTACTATAATAGACCACCATGGAGAGAGGGTTAGGGGTTAGTCTAGACTGTACTATAATAGACCACCATGGAGAGAGGGTTAGGGGTTAGTCTAGACTGGACTATAATATATATAATAGACCACCATGGAGAGAGGGTTAGGGGTTAGTCTAGACTGTACTATAATATATATAATAGACCATCATTGAGAGAGGGTTAGGGGTTAGTCTAGACTGGACTATAATATATATAATAGACCACCATGGAGAGAGGGTTAGGGGTTAGTCTAGACTGGACTATAATATATATAATATACCATCATGGAGAGAGGGTTAGGGGTTAGTCTAGACTGGACTATAATATATATAATAGACCACCATGGAGAGAGGGTTAGGGGTTAGTCTAGACTGGACTATAATATATATAATAGACCATCATGGAGAGAGGGTTAGGGGTTAGTCTAGACTGGACTATAATATATATAATAGACCACCATGGAGAGAGGGTTAGGGGTTAGTCTAGACTGGACTATAATAGACCACCATGGAGAGAGGGTTAGGGGTTAGTCTAGACTGGACTATAATAGACCATCATGGAGAGAGGGTTAGGGGTTAGTCTAGACTGTACTATAATATATATAATAGACCATCATGGAGAGAGGGTTAGGGGTTAGTCTAGACTGTACTATAATATATATAATAGACCATCATGGAGAGAGGGTTAGGGGTTAGTCTAGACTGTACTATAATATATATAATAGACCTCCATGGAGAGAGGGTTAGGGGTTAGTCTAGACTGTACTATAATAGCCCATCATGGAGAGAGGGTTAGGGGTTAGTCTAGACTGTACTATAATAGACCACCATGGAGAGAGGGTTAGGGGTTAGTCTAGACTGTACTATAATAGACCACCATGGAGAGAGGGTTAGGGGTTAGTCTAGACTGTACTATAATAGACCATCATGGAGAGAGGGTTAGGGGTTAGTCTAGACTGGACTATAATATATATAATAGACCACCATGGAGAGAGGGTTAGGGGTTAGTCTAGACTGTACTATAATATATATAATAGACCATCATTGAGAGAGGGTTAGGGGTTAGTCTAGACTGTACTATAATAGACCACCATGGAGAGAGGGTTAGGGGTTAGTCTAGACTGGACTATAATAGACCACCATGGAGAGAGGGTTAGGGGTTAGTCTAGACTGTACTATAATAGACCATCATGGAGAGAGGGTTAGGGGTTAGTCTAGACTGGACTATAATATATATAATAGACCACCATGGAGAGAGGGTTAGGGGTTAGTCTAGACTGGACTATAATATATATAATAGACCACCATGGAGAGAGGGTTAGGGGTTAGTCTAGACTGTACTATAATAGACCATCATGGAGAGAGGGTTAGGGGTTAGTCTAGACTGGACTATAATATATATAATAGACCACCATGGAGAGAGGGTTAGGGGTTAGTCTAGACTGGACTATAATATATATAATATACCATCATGGAGAGAGGGTTAGGGGTTAGTCTAGACTGTACTATAATATATATAATAGACCACCATGGAGAGAGGGTTAGGGGTTAGTCTAGACTGGACTATAATATATATAATAGACCACCATGGAGAGAGGGTTAGGGGTTAGTCTAGACTGGACTATAATATATATAATATACCATCATGGAGAGAGGGTTAGGGGTTAGTCTAGACTGTACTATAATATATATAATAGACCACCATGGAGAGAGGGTTAGGGGTTAGTCTAGACTGGACTATAATATATATAATAGACCACCATGGAGAGAGGGTTAGGGGTTAGTCTAGACTGGACTATAATAGACCATCATGGAGAGAGGGTTAGGGGTTAGTCTAGACTGTACTATAATATATATAATAGACCACCATGGAGAGAGGGTTAGGGGTTAGTCTAGACTGTACTATAATATATATAATAGACCATCATTGAGAGAGGGTTAGGGGTTAGTCTAGACTGTACTATAATAGACCATCATGGAGAGAGGGTTAGGGGTTAGTCTAGACTGGACTATAATATATATAATAGACCACCATGGAGAGAGGGTTAGGGGTTAGTCTAGACTGAACTATAATATATATAATAGACCATCATGGAGAGAGGGTTAGGGGTTAGTCTAGACTGTACTATAATAGACCATCATGGAGAGAGGGTTAGGGGTTAGTCTAGACTGTACTATAATATATATAATAGACCATCATGGAGAGAGGGTTAGGGGTTAGTCTAGACTGGACTATAATAGACCACCATGGAGAGAGGGTTAGGGGTTAGTCTAGACTGTACTATAATAGACCACCATGGAGAGAGGGTTAGGGGTTAGTCTAGACTGTACTATAATAGACCATCATGGAGAGAGGGTTAGGGGTTAGTCTAGACTGGACTATAATATATATAATAGACCACCATGGAGAGAGGGTTAGGGGTTAGTCTAGACTGTACTATAATATATATAATAGACCATCATGGAGAGAGGGTTAGGGGTTAGTCTAGACTGTACTATAATATATATAATAGACCATCATTGAGAGAGGGTTAGGGGTTAGTCTAGACTGTACTATAATAGACCATCATGGAGAGAGGGTTAGGGGTTAGTCTAGACTGTACTATAATAGACCACCATGGAGAGAGGGTTAGGGGTTAGTCTAGACTGGACTATAATATATATAATAGACCACCATGGAGAGAGGGTTAGGGGTTAGTCTAGACTGGACTATAATATATATAATAGACCACCATGGAGAGAGGGTTAGGGGTTAGTCTAGACTGTACTATAATATATATAATAGACCACCATGGAGAGAGGGTTAGGGGTTAGTCTAGACTGTACTATAATATATATAATAGACCATCATGGAGAGAGGGTTAGGGGTTAGTCTAGACTGTACTATAATATATATAATAGACCATCATTGAGAGAGGGTTAGGGGTTAGTCTAGACTGTACTATAATATATATAATAGACCATCATTGAGAGAGGGTTAGGGGTTAGTCTAGACTGTACTATAATAGACCATCATGGAGAGAGGGTTAGGGGTTAGTCTAGACTGTACTATAATAGACCACCATGGAGAGAGGGTTAGGGGTTAGTCTAGACTGTACTATAATAGACCACCATGGAGAGAGGGTTAGGGGTTAGTCTAGACTGGACTATAATATATATAATAGACCACCATGGAGAGAGGGTTAGGGGTTAGTCTAGACTGTACTATAATATATATAATAGACCATCATGGAGAGAGGGTTAGGGGTTAGTCTAGACTGGACTATAATATATATAATAGACCATCATGGAGAGAGGGTTAGGGGTTAGTCTAGACTGGACTATAATATATATAATAGACCATCATGGAGAGAGGGTTAGGGGTTAGTCTAGACTGTACTATAATATATATAAAAGACCACCATGGAGAGAGGGTTAGGGGTTAGTCTAGACTGGACTATAATAGACCACCATGGAGAGAGGGTTAGGGGTTAGTATAGACTGTACTATAATAGACCACCATGGAGAGAGGGTTAGGGGTTAGTCTAGACTGTACTATAATAGACCACCATGGAGAGAGGGTTAGGGGTTAGTCTAGACTGGACTATAATAGACCATCATGGAGAGAGGGTTAGGGGTTAGTCTAGACTGTACTATAATATATATAATAGACCATCATGGAGAGAGGGTTAGGGGTTAGTCTAGACTGTACTATAATATATATAATAGACCACCATTGAGAGAGGGTTAGGGGTTAGTCTAGACTGTACTATAATATATATAATAGACCATCATGGAGAGAGGGTTAGGGGTTAGTCTAGACTGGACTATAATAGATAGTCTAGACTGTACTATAATAGACCATCAGGAGAGAGGGTTAGGGGTTAGTCTAGACCTGGACTATAATATATATATAGAACCATCATGGAGAGAGGGTTAGGGGTTAGTCTAGACTGTACTATAATAGACCATCATGGAGAGAGGGTTAGGGGTTAGTCTAGACTGGACTATATAATATATAGACCATCATGGAGAGAGGGTTAGGGGTTAGTCTAGACTGTACTATAATAGACCACCATGGAGAGAGGGTAGGGGTTAGTCTAGACTGTACTATAATAGACCACCATGGAGAGAAGGTTAGGGGTTAGTCTAGACTGGACTATAATATATATAATAGACCACCATGGAGAGAGGGTTAGGGGTTAGTCTAGACTGTACTATAATAGACCACCATGGAGAGAGGGTTAGGGGTTAGTCTAGACTGGACTATAATATATATAATAGACCACCATGGAGAGAGGGTTAGGGGTTAGTCTAGACTGTACTATAATATATATAATAGACCACCATGGAGAGAGGGTTAGGGGTTAGTCTAGACTGTACTATAATAGACCATCATGGAGAGAGGGTTAGGGGTTAGTCTAGACTGGACTATAATAGACCATCATGGAGAGAGGGTTAGGGGTTAGTCTAGACTGTACTATAATACTGTTTACTGTTCTCCAGGCATGGCTGTGCTGGACGAGACCACCATGGAGAGAGCGATGGAGGAGTTTGGGCGGTGTTGCTATGACAGAAGGAGCCATGCCATAACAACTGAGGGGGGGCTTGGCATGGAGGACGACGAGGACGTTGTGTGTGACGTCTGTCGGTCACCTGACAGCGAGGACAACAGTGAGATGGTGTTCTGTGACAAGTGCAACGTCTGTGTTCACCAGGTATGGCTTTTGTTTTATTTCCACCGTTTTTAATATTGCTCATAATGATGCTCTTTAATGGCCAAACTGTCTGGGCATGTTCTGTGTTTTCCAGGTGTGTTATGGGATTCTGAAGGTACCAAAGGGTAGCTGGCTGTGTCAGACCTGTGCTCTCTGCATCTCGCCCAAATGCCAAGTCTGCCCCAAGAAGGGCGGGGCCATGAAGCCCACCCGCAGCGGAACCAAGTGGGTCCACGTCAGCTGTGCCCTGTGGATCCCCGAGGTGATGACCCCTGAACCCCAACCCTTAACCCTTACCCTTACCCCTGCTTATTGGAAGTTAGCTTCCACACAGAAGTAAATTAACAAAAGTGTTGAACTTCTGTTGTCATTTATGTAAACAAAAAACATAGTTGGCCTGGGTCTGTATTGTGAAACTGCAGATTTGTGAAAGATAATGTGACCCCTGGTCTGTATTGTGTATGTCTGCGTAGGTGAGCATTGGGAACCCAGAGAAGATGGAGCCGATCACCAACATGTCCCACATCCCCAGTAACAGATGGGCTCTGACCTGCTGTCTCTGTAAAGACCCGACCGGAGCCTGTATACAGGTACAGACCCTAACCCTAACCCTAACCCTAACCCGACTGGAGCCTGTATACAGGTACAGACCCTAACCCTAACCCTAACCCTAACCCGACCGGAGCCTGTATACAGGTACAGACCCTAACCCTAACCCTAACCCGACTGGAGCCTGCATACAGGTACAGACCCTAACCCTAACCCTAACCCTAACCGGAGCCTGCATACAGGTACAGACCCTAACCCTAACCCTAACCCTAACCCGACTGGAGCCTGTATACAGGTACAGACCCTAACCCGACTGGAGCCTGTATACAGGTACAGACCCTAACCCTAACCCTAACCCTAACCAGACTGGAGCCTGTATACAGGTACAGACCCTACCCTAACCCGACTGGAGCCTGTATACAGGTACAGACCCTAACCCTAAACCCTAACCCTAACCCGACTGGAGCCTGTTATACCAGGTACAGACCCTAACCCTAACCCTAACCCGACTGGAGCCTGTATACAGGTACAGACCCTAACCCTAACCCGACCGGAGCCTGTATACAGGTACAGACCCTAACCCTAACCCTAACCCTAACCAGACTGGAGCCTGTATACAGGTACAGACCCTAACCCTAACCCTAACCCTACCGGAGCCTGTATACAGGTACAGACCCTAACCCTAACCCTAACCCTAACCGGAGCCTGTATACAGGTACAGACCCTAACCCTAACCCTAACCGGAGCCTGTATACAGGTACAGACCCTAACCCTAACCCTAACCGGAGCCTGTATACAGGTACAGACCCTAACCCTAACCCTAACCCGACCGGAGCCTGCATACAGGTACAGACCCTAACCCTAACCCTAACCCGACCGGAGCCTGTATACAGGTACAGACCCTAACCCTAACCCTAACCCGACCGGAGCCTGTATACAGGTACAGACCCTAACCCTAACCCGACTGGAGCCTGTATACAGGTACAGACCCTAACCCTAACCCTAACCCGACTGGAGCCTGTATACAGGTACAGACCCTAACCCTAACCCTAACCCGATGGAGCCTGTATACAGGTAAGACCCTAACCCTAACCCTAACCCGCTGGAGCCTTTATACAGGTAACAGCCGCCTAACCCTACCCGACTGAGCCGTGATACAGTACAGACCCTACCCTAACCCTAACCCTAACCGATGACCCGGAGCCTGTATACAGTTACAGACCCTAACCCAAAAACCCGACCTAGGCCCTGCATACAGGTCACAAACCTAACCCTAACCAGACAACAAAAAACGACTGGAGCCACATGATAAATATACAGTTACAGACCCCTAAACCCGAACCCTAAACAAAAAAGAAAACAAAACCCACCAACAACACCGAGCCTGCATACAGGTACAGACCCTACAACCTAACCCGACTGGATCCTGGTAATAATACAGGTACAGACCCTAACCCTAACCAACCCTACCGGAGCATGTATACAGTTACAGACCCTAACCCAACCCTACCCTACCCTAACGGAGCCTGTCTACAGTACAAGGAGCCTAACCCTAACCCTAACCTTAGCCTGTCTCACATGTACAATACCCTAACCCTAACCCTAACCGAGCCTGTATACGGTCACGACCCTAACCTAACCCGACCGGAGCCTGCATCAGGTAACAGACCCCTAACCCTAACCCTAACAAAAACCCGACCGGAGCCTGTATACAGTTACAGAACCCTAAACCCTAACCCCGAACCCGACCGGAGCCTGTCTACCAGGTACAGGCCCTAACCCTAACCCGACTGGAGCCCCTGTGTATACGGTAACAGACCTAACCCTAAACCCTAACCCGACTGGAGCCTGTATACAGGTCAGACCCTAACCCTAACCCGAACTGGAGCGCTTTATACAGTATCAGACCCTAACACTCAACCCCTAACACCCTACTGGAGCCTGTATACAGGTAGACAGACCCTACACCCTACCTAACCCGACTTGTGGGGCAGCCTGGTGGTATACACGGGTACCGACCCCTATAACCCTAACCCTCACCCGACCGGCTCCTGTAACAGTAGGCCGACCCTAACCCTACACACCACCGGAGCCTGCATACAGGTACAACTCCTAACCCTAACCCTAACCCCGACTGGACCCCTGTGTATACTGGTACGACCCTAACCCTAACCCTAACACGACCGGAGCCTGTATACAGGTACGACCCTGAAGCCCTAGAAATAAGAGGGAAGAAGAGCGGAGGTGGGGGACAGTGGGAAGTAAGGGCCGTGGGAAATATGGTTGGGGGTGGGGGGGTGGGGGGGGATTAATGGAGGGTAGCATGGGTCCCCTCCCCCTTCCCATTGCTCCTTCCTCCCGTTTGTTCGCCTCTGCTCCCCTCTTCCCCTCGTTCGCGCCACCCTACCTGCTCCTGTATACATGTTACACAAGACCCTACCCTAACCCGACCTAGCCCTGTATACAGGTACAGACCCTAACCCAACCCGACTGGAGCCTGTATACAGGTAACAGACCCCTAACCCTAACCCAACTGGAGCCTGTATAACAGGTAACAGCCTAACCCGACTGAGCCTGTATCCAGTCAGAGACCCGTAACCCTAAACCCTAAACCGGAGCCTGTATAAGGTAACGGACCCTAACCCTAAACCACGACCGGAGCCTGTATACAGGTACAGACCCTAACCCTAACCCGACTGGAGCCTGTATACAGGTACAGACCCTAAACCCACCCCGACTGTAGCTGTATACAGGTACAGACCCCTAACCCTACCCGACGGAGGCCTGTATACCGGTACAGAGCCTACCCTACAACAACCCCTAACCCTACGGAGCCTGTATACAGGTACCACCCCTACCCGACGGAGCCTTTAACAGGTACACGGACCCTAACCCTAACCCTAACCCTAACCACCCTACTGGATCCTGCAATACAGGTACAGACCCTAACCCTAACCCTAACCCAACCCGACTGGAGCCTGTATACAGGTACGATCCCTAACCCTAACCCGACTGGACCTGTATACATGTAACCACCCTAACCCGAACCAACCCGACCGAGCCTGTTACATGTACAGACCCTAACCCTAACCCGACTGGGCTTTATAACCGGTACAGACCTAACCCTACCCACTGGAGCCTGTATACAGGACAGACCTAACCCTACTAAACCCCGACCGGAGCCTGCCTACCGGTCAGACCCTAACCTAACCCCAACTGGAGCCTGTATACAGGTACAGACCCTAAACCCTACCCCTAACCCGAACCCGACCGTAACCTGCATAAGGTACCGACCTAACCCTAACCCTAAACCCGACCGAGCCTTCATACGGTCCCGACCTAACCCTAACCCGACCGAGCCTGTATACAGGTACAGGACCCTACACCCTAACCCTAACCCGACTGGAGCCTGATACATGTACAGACCCCTAAACCCTAACCCCTAACCCGAGACCTAACCCGACCGGAGCCTGCATACAGTACAACCCTAACCCAACACCCTACCGGACCTGTAAAGGTACAGACCCTAACCCTAACCCTAACACACCGGAGCCCGCATACAGGTACAGACCCTAACCCTAACCCTACCGGGAGCTAGCATACAGGTAACATACCCTAACCCTAACCCGACTGGAGCCTGTCTACAGGTACAGACCCTAAAACCCTAACCCTACCCGGACTGAGGCCTGTATACAGGGTACAGACCCTAACCCTAACCCAACCCGACCGGAGCCTGTAGTACAGGTACGACCCTAACCCTAAACCCTAACACCGACTGTAAGCCTGGTATACAGGTACAGAACCCTAACCCAACCCGACCGGAGCCTGTATAACAAGTACCGACCCTAACCCTAACCCACCGGGGAGCCTGTATCCATGTACAAGACCGGCTAACCCCTAACCCTATAACCCACCGGAGCCTTTCATACAGGTACAGACCCTAACCTAACCACCGTAGGCCTTGTATACAGGTACATACCCCAACCCTAAAAACCCTAACCCGACTGAGCCTGTTCTACAGGTAGCCGGCCCTAACCCTAACCCGACGGAGCTGTATACAGGTACAACCGCTAAACCCTAACCCGACTGGGCCTGTAGACAGGTACAGACCCTACCCTAACCCTAACCAACGCTGAGCCTGTATACAGGTACCTACCAACCCTAAACCCGACCGGCGCACTGTATACAGGTACAGACCCTAACCCTCCCCGACCGGACCTGTATACAGGTACAGACCCTAAACCTAAAACCCTACCCCGACTGGAGCCTGTAATACATGTACAACTCCTAACCCTAAACCCTAACCCGACTGGAGCCTGTTAACAGGTACGAACCCACCCTAACCCTAAACCCCCCGAGCTGTATACAGGTCAAGACCCTAACCCTAACCCGCCTGAGCCTGTATACAGGTACGACCTAACCCTAACCCCCGCCGGAGCCTGTATACAGGTACAGGACCTAACCCTAACCGACTGGAGCCTGTAACCGGTACAAGACCCAAACCCTACCCCTATAACCCCGACTGGACTCCTGTATCAGGTACAGACCCTAAAAAAAAACCCTAACAACCCTAAAACCTAAACCGGAGCCTTTATACAGGTCAGACCCTAACCCTAACCCGACTGAGCCTGTATACAGGTACAACCTAACCCTAACCTAACCCTAACCCACCGTAGCCTGTTATACAGGGTACAGACCCTAACCCTAACCCCTAACCCGACGGAAGCCTGCATACAGGTACAGACCCTACCTAACCCTAACCCAACCCACCGGAGCCGGTAACAGGTACAGACCCTAACCTACCTAAACCCGATGTGAGCCTGTATACCGGTACAGACCCTAACCCTAACCCCCACTGGAGCCTTTAACAGGTACAGACCCTAACCTAACGCTAACCCTAACCGAGCTTCATCAGGTACAGACCTAACCCGAACCCTAACCCTCCTGAGCCTTTATACAGGTACCGACCATAACCCTAACCCTAAACCCCTACCGAGCTGTATACAGGTCATACCCTAACCCTAACCCTAACCCTAACCGGAGCCTGTATAGTACAGACCCCTAACCCTACCAACTGGAGCCTGTATACAGGTACAGAATAACCCTAACCCTAACCCAACTGGGAGCCTGTTCATACCGGTACAGCCCCTAACCTAACAACCCGACTGGAGCCTGTATACAGGTACAGACCCTAACCCTAACCCATAAAGCCCGATCAACCGGATCCTGTATCAGGTACATACCCTAACATCTAACCCGACTGGACCTGCATACATGTACAGACCCTAACCCTAACCCTAACCCGACACGGAGGCCTGCATACAGTTACAGGTAACAGACCTACCCCTAACCCTAACCCGACTGGAGCCTGCATACAGGTACAGACCCTAACCCTAAACACCCATGGAGCCTGTATACAGGTACAAACCTAACCCTAACCCTAACCCGACTGAGCCTGTATACAGTTACAGACCCTAACCCTAAACCGACTGGAGCCTGTATACAGTCGACCCTAACCCTAAACCCGACCGAGCCTGCACTACAGGGACAGACCCTAACCCTAACCCTAACCGTATCCTTATACAGGTACAGACCCTAACTAACCCTAACCCGACCGAGCCTGTAACAGTACAAGAAGCCCTAACCCTAAACCCGACCGGAGCCTGTTATCAGGTACAGACCCTAACCCTAACCCCGACCGTAGCTGTATACAGGTCAAGACCTAACCTAAACACCCGACCGTAGCCTGTATACAGTTACAGACCCCTAACCCTAGACCCGACTGAGGCTTGTATACAGGTTACAGACCCTAACCCTAACCCCGACTGGAGCCTGTATACAGGTCAGACCCTAAACCCTACCACCCGACCGAGCCTGTATACATGTGCAACAGACCCTAACCCTAAAAACCCTAACCCTACTGGAGCCTGTTATACCGGTACATGACCCTAACCCGAAACCCTACCCGAACTGTAGCCCTGCTAAAGTTACATACCTAACCCAACCCGACCGGAGCCTGTATCCAGGTACATACCCTAACCCCTAACCCTACTGGAGCTGTATACAGGTCAGACCCCTAACGGTCCGACGGCCTTATACATGTACAGACCCTAACCCTAAACCTAACCCTACCCTAGACCGAGCCCATGTATAAACCGGTACAGACCCTAACCCTAACCCTACCCAATTACTGGAGCCTGTATCAGGTTTACCGGAACCTAACCCTAACCCGACCGGAGCCTGTAACAGGTACGACCCTAACCCCTAACGCCTACCGAGCCCTGCATACAGTACCGACCCTAACCCTAACCCGACTGGAGCCTGTATCAGGTACAGAGCCCCTAACCCTAACCCGACTGGAGCCTTGCCATACAGGTACATACCCTAACCCTAACCCACTGATCCTGTATACAGGTTACAGCCCCTAACCCTAAAACCCGAACAGGAGCCTGTATCAGGACAGACTCCTAAACTAACCTGACCGGAGCCTGTATACTGTACAAGACCCCCTAACCCTAACCCGACTGGACCTGTTATACAGGTACAAGACCCTCCTACCCTAACCCTAACCCACTGGATCTGTATACAGGTACAGACCCTAACCCGAACCCGACCGGAGCCTGTATACAGGTACAACCCTACCTACCCCTAACCCTAACCAGCCACAAGACTGGAGCCTGTATACAAGGTAAGACCCTAACCCTAACCCGACCGTAGCCTGATTACAGGTACAGACCCTAACCCGACTGGAGCCTGATATCGTACAGACCCTCACCCTACCCACCTGGATCCTGTATCAGGTACCGACCCTAACCCTAAACCTCGACCGGAGCCTGTATACAGGTACAGACCCTAACCCTAAACCCGAACCGAGCCTGTATACAGGTACAGACCCTACCCGACTGGAGCCCTGTATACAGTACATACCCTAACCCTAACCCGAACTTGGAGCCTGTATACAGGTACCAGACCCTAACCCTAACCCGACTAGAGCCTGTATACATTACAAAGACCCTAACCCTAACCCTAACCCTACCATACTGGAGCCTGTATACTGTACAGACCCTAACCCTAACAACCGACGGAAGCCTGTAACATACCAGGTACCGACCCAACCCGACTGGAGCCTTTTATACAGGTACCGAACCCTAACCCTAACCCGACGACTGGAGCCTGTATACAGGTACAAGACCCTAACCCCTAAACCCGACCGGAGCCTTATACAGGTACAGACCCCTAACCTAACCCCGACCGGAGCCCTTGTATACAGGTCAAGACACTACCCGAACCCTACCCGACTGTGAGCCTGTAAAGTAGAGACCCTACCCTAACCCTAAACCCGACGGAGCCTGTATACAGGTACAGACCCTAACCTACCCGACGGGAGCCGTATACAGGTACAGACCCAACCCTAACAACCCGACTGGAAGCCTGTATACAGGTACTAGCCCTAACCCTAACCCGCCTGAGCCTGCATACAGGTTTACATACCCAAACCTAACCAACACCGACTGAGCCTTTATACAGGTAACAGACCCTAACCCTAACCCGACCGGAGCCTGTATACAGGTACAGACCCTAACCCTAACCCGACTGGAGCCTGTATACAGGTACGCAATGGAGCTACTGCATGGAGAAGGCTTTAATAACTCTGTGTGGATTTTTGTTACATTAGCAGTCCTTTCTCTATCAGTTTTCTATCTGTTCAGTAACTTTGTTAGTTACCTGCGAGACCTGCGCAATTTAGGACCTTGAGCCACGCTGGTCATGGGTGCACCTCAGCCACGCTCAAGGTCCTAAACGATATAATAACCGCGATCGATAATAGACAGTACTGTGCAGCCGTCTTCATCGACCTGGCCAAGGCTTTTGACTGTGTCAATCACCGCATTCTTATTGGCAGACTAAATAGCCTTGGTTTCTCAAATGACTGCCTCGCCTGGTTCACCAACTACTTCTCAGATAGAGTTCAATGTGTCAAATCGGAGGGCCTGTTGTCTGGACCTATGGCAGTCTCTATGGGGGTGCCACAGGGTTCAATTCTTGGGCCGACTCCATTCTCTGTGTATATCAATGATGTCGTTCTTGCTGCTGGTGATTCTCAGATCCACCTCTATGCGGACGACACCATTTTGTATACATCTGGCCCTTCATTGGACACTGTGTTAACAAACCTCCAAACGAGCTTCAATGCCATACAACACTCCTTCAGTAGCCTCCAACTGCTCTTAAACACTAGTAAAACTAAATGCATGCTCTTCAATCGAACGCTGCTGGCACCCGCCCACCCGACTAGAATCACCACTCTCGACGGGTCTGACCTAGAGTATGTGGACAACTACAAATACCTAGGTGTCTGGTTAGACTGTAAACTCTCCTTCCAGACTCACATTAAGCATCTCCAATCCAAAGTTAAATCTAGAATCGGCTTCCTATTTCGCAACAAAGCCTCCTTCACTCATGCTGCCAAACATGCCCTCGTAAAACTGACTATCCTACCGATCCTTGACTTCGGCGATGTCATTTACAAAATAGCTTCCAACACTCTACTCAGCAAATTGGATGTAGTCTATCACAGTGCCATCCGTTTTGTCACCAAAGCCCCATACACTACCCACCACTGTGACCTGTACGCTCTTGTTGGCTAGTCCTCACTACATATTCGTCGCCAAACCCACTGGCTCCAGGTCATCTATAAATCACTGCTAGGCAAATCCCAGCCTTATCTTAGCTCATTGGTCACCATAGCAGCACCCACCCGTAGTCTGCGCTCCAGCAGGTATATCTCACTGGTCATCCCCAAAGCCAACACCTCCTTTGGCCGCCATTCCTTCCAGTTCTCTGCTGCCAATGACTGGAACGAATTGCAAACATCTCTGAAGCTGGAGACACTTATCTCCCTCACTAACTTTAAGCATCAGTTGTCAGAGCACCTTACCGATCACTGCACCTGTACACAGCCCATCTGAAATTAGCCCACCCAACTACCTCATCCCCATATTGTTATTTATTTTTGCTCATTTGCACCCCAGTATCTCTATTTGCACATAATCTCTTGCCGTTAGAGTATCTCTATCACTCCAGTGTTAATACTAATTGTAATTATTTTGCACTATAGCCTATTTATTGCCTTACCTCCATAACTTGCTACATTTGCACACACTGTATATATATTTTCTGTTGTATTTTTGACTTTGTTTTGTTTACCCCGTATGTAACTCCGTTGTTTTTATCGCACTGCTTTGCTTTATCTTGGCCAGGTCGCAGTTGTAAATGAGAACTTGTTCTCAACTGGCTTACCTGGTTAAATAAAGGTGGAATAAAATAAATATATAAAAAATATCTCTGGTCTCTGTTCCCTCAGTGTTCAATTAAAAGCTGTCGGACAGCGTTCCATGTGAGCTGTGCCTTACAGAGCCGTCTGGAGAGGAACACCACCATCAAAGAGCAGGTCAAGTTCAAGTCCTTCTGCCCCAAACACTCTGGTCTGTTGGGAGGAGAGGGGAGGAAGGGAGGGAGAGTCAGAGGAGATGAAGTCCCAAACCCAGTGGAGGCCCTGAGCAGCGGACAGGAGGAGGTGAACCTCCGTCACATCAAACTACAGCAGCTGGAGGAGGCGTTCTACCAGTTAGTTGACGTAAAGGAGGTGTCCGAGGCCCTGCAGCTGAACCAGGAGACAGTCCACTTCATATATCGGTACTGGAAGCTGAAATGCCGAGCCAATCACAGCCAGCCATTGCTGACACCCCAGAAGGAGGAGGAGAGTCTGGCGAGGAGAGATGACGCGCCTACACAGGCCACGCCTCCCAGGCCAGCCACACCCAGGCAGCGGTCGCTGGCTATTGGCTGATTGTCTCCAGCTGCAGAGGGCATCAGGAGCCACCAGAGAGGGGAATGACTCTAACCCCTAACCCGCCCCGATACCAGCAGGTATCTCTCTAACCTTTGAAATAAATCCATAGTGCAGCTGCTGCCTGTGTGCCTGACTAATGTACTGACTGGGAGAAACATCACAGCAATATGAGAGAGGTGTGATATGACCTAGACAGACAAGTATAGAAAAATGGTTCTACTAGACAGAACTACTGTACTCCTCAGAACCAGACAGAACTACTGTACTCCTCAGAACCAGACAGACAGAACTACTGTACTCCTCAGAACCAGGCAGACAGACCCACCATACTGACCCTGACTCTAACCCACCATACTGACCCTGACTCTAAACCACCATACTGACTCTAACCCACCATACTGACCCTGACTCTAACCCACCATACTGACTCTAACCCACCATACTGACTCTAACCCACCATACTGACCCTGACTCTAACCCACCATACTGACTCTAACCCACCATACTGACTCTAACCCACCATACGGACCCTGACTCTAACCCACCATACTGACCCTGACTCTAACCCACCATACTGACCCTGACTCTAACCCACCATACTGACCCTGACTCTAACCCACCATACGGACCCTGACTCTAACCCACCATACGGACCCTGACTCTAACCCACCATACGGACCCTGACTCTAACCCACCATACTGACCCTGACTCTAACCCACCATACGGACCCTGACTCTAACCCACCATGCTGACTCTAACCCACCATGACCCTGACTCTAACCCACCATACTGACCTGGCTCTAAACCCACCATACTGACCCTGACTCTAACCCACCATACTGACCCTGACTCTAACCCCACCATAACTGGACCCTGACTCTAACCCACCATACTGACCCTGACTCTAACCCCATACGGACCCGTGACTCTAACCCCCATACGGACCCTGACTCTAACCCACCATACGGACCTCTGACTCTAACCCACCATACGGACCCTTACTCTAACCCCACCATACGGACCCTGACTCTAACCCACCATACGGACCCTGACTCTAACCCACCATACTGACCCTGACTCTAACCCACCATACGGACCCTGACTCTAACCCACCCATACGGACCCTGACTCTAACCCACCATACGGACCCTGACTTAACCCACCATACTGACCCTGACTCTAACCCACCATACTGGACCCTGACTCTAACCCACCATACTGACCCTGACTCTAACCCACCATACTGGAACCCTGACTCTAACCCACCATACGGACCCTGACTCTAACCCACCATACGGACCCTGACTCTAACCCACCATACGGACCCTGACTCTAACCCACCATACTGACCCTGACTCTAACCCACCATACTGACCCTGACTCTAACCCACCATACTGACCTGACTCTAACCCACCATACTGACCCTGACTCTAACCCACCATACGGACCCTGACTCTAACCCACATACGGACCCTGACTCTAACCCACCATACTGACTCTAACCCACCATACGGACCCTGACTCTAACCCACCATACGGACCCTGACTCTAACCCACCATACGGACCCTGACTCTAACCCACCATACGGACCCTGACTCTAACCCACCATACGGACCCTAACCCACCATACGGACCCTGACTCTAACCCACCATACTGACCCTGACTCTAAACCCACCATACTGACCCTGACTCTAACCCACCATACTGACCCTGACTCTAACCCACCCATACTGACTCTAACCCACCATACTGACTCTAACCCACCATACTGACTCTAACCCACCATACGGACCCTGACTCTAACCCACCATACTGACCCTGACTCTAACCCACCATACTGACCCTGACTCTAACCCACCATACTGACCCTGACTCTAACCCACCATACGGACCCTGACTCTAACCCACCATACGGACCCTGACTCTAACCCACCATACGGACCCTGACTCTAACCCACCATACTGACCCTGACTCTAACCCACCATACTGACCCTGACTCTAACCCACCATACGGACCCTGACTCTAACCCACCATACGGACCCTGACTCTAACCCACCATACGGACCCTGACTCTAACCCACCATACTGACTCTAACCCACCATACTGACTCTAACCCACCATACGGACCCTGACTCTAACCCACCATACGGACCCTGACTCTAACCCACCATACGGACCCTGACTCTAACCCACCATACGGACCCTGACTCTAACCCACCATACGGACCCTAACCCACCATACGGACCCTGACTCTAACCCACCATACTGACCCTGACTCTAACCCACCATACTGACCCTGACTCTAACCCACCATACTGACCCTGACTCTAACCCACCATACTGACCCTGACTCTAACCCACCATACTGACCCTGACTCTAACCCACCATACGGACCCTGACTCTAACCCACCATACGGACCCTGACTCTAACCCACCATACTGACCCTGACTCTAACCCACCATACGGACCCTGACTCTAACCCACCATACGGACCCTGACTCTAACCCACCATACGGACCCTGACTCTAACCCACCATACGGACCCTGACTCTAACCCACCATACGGACCCTGACTCTAACCCACCATACGGACCCTGACTCTAACCCACCATACTGACCCTGACTCTAACCCACCATACTGACCCTGACTCTAACCCACCATACGGACCCTAACCCACCATACTGACCCTGACTCTAACCCACCATACGGACCCTGACTCTAACCCACCAGTAGGCAGGATAGGGTGGAGAGACTCAGTGGAACAGAGGACAGCCAATCAAGCCCTGTTACCACTGGCACTTAAAATTAAGGCCAAATTCAAGCTGGCTCAAATGGAATTCACAAATTGGTTTAGAATTCAGGATGGTGACACGGTTACTATGCAACCACCAAGCTGATCACACGGTTACTATGCAACCACCAAGCTGATCACGCTGGATACTGACAACTAGCTTATGGACAAGCAGCACTGCAGTAGTCAGACATGACACCGTAGCAGGATCCTGCATTCATTTTATGCACTACACAACCTTTTATAAGCATAGACATCCCTCAAATGCTAGCTACCTAACATTAGCTAGCAGGAATTTTAGCTGGCCAGGTCATATTGAAAGCTAGCTAGCAAGCTACATCATATCAAACCCGTCGTTTGGTTGGTTAGCTAGCTAATGGCCAATGCCATGGCAAGCAAGGTAGGAATTAAGCTAGCTAGCCTGTTATCCTAGCAACGACGCTAACCGTTTAGGAAGCTAAATCTACTGAACAAAAATAAACGCAACATGCAACAATTTCAAAGATTTTACTGAGTTACAGTTCATATAAGGAAATCAGTCAATTTAAATAAATTCATTAGGCCCTAATCTATGGATTTCACATGACTGGGCAGGGGTGCAGCCAATGGTGGGCTTGGGAGGGTATAGACCTACCCACTGGGGAGCCAAGCCAGGCCCGGCCACTGGGGAGCCAGGCCCGGCCCAGCCACTGGGGAGCCAGGCCAGGCCCGGCCACTGGGGAGCCAGGCCCGGCCCGGCCACTGGGGAGCCAGGCCCGGCCCGGCCACTGGGGAGCCAGGCCCGGCCCGGCCACTGGGGAGCCAGGTCCAGCCACTGGGGAGCCAGGCCCGGCCCAGCCACTGGGGAGCCAGGTCCAGCCACTGGGGAGCCAGGCCCGGTCCAGCCACTGGGGAGCCAGGCCCGGCCACTGGGGAGCCAGGCCCAGCCACTGGGGAGCCAGGTCCAGCCACTGGGGAGCCAGGTCCAACAGAGTTCTTCCCCACAAACAGGCTTTTACTACAGACGGAAATAGAACTAGGCAAACCAATTAGAAGACAATGCTCTGATCACGCTGATCACGCTGATTATTGAGCACAGGGGAGGGTAGTTGTCAAGGCGTCAGTGTAATGCGGTAGGCGAAGTCAGGCGCAGGACACAGAGCTAATCAAAAGGCGTACTTTACTCGAAGGTAAAAGAATGAACAGCAAACCTCCACACAGGGAGGGAACAATCCCGCACACTAACGACAACCAAGACTAATACAAACACGCACAACACACAGTGTGAGACAGAGGGTTAAATAGGGAACAATCCTGCACACTAACGACAACCAAGACTAAACAAACACAGTGTGAGACAGAGGGTTAAATAGGGAAGACATAACTACATGATGGGAAACAGGTGAGACCAATAAAGACAGTGTGAGACAGAGGGTTAAATAGGGAAGACATAACTACATGATGGGAAACAGGTGAGACCAATAAAGACAGTGTGAGACAGAGGGTTAAATAGGGAAGACATAACTACATGATGGGAAACAGGTGAGACCAATAAAGACAGTGTGAGACAGAGGGTTAAATGGGAAGACATAACTACATGATGGGAAACAGGTGAGACCAATAAAGACAGTGTGAGACAGAGGGTTAAATAGGGAAGACATAACTACATGATGGGAAACAGGTGAGACCAATAAAGACAGTGTGAGACAGAGGGTTAAATAGGGAAGACATAACTACATGATGGGAAACAGGTGAGACCAATAAAGACGTGTGAGACAGAGGGGTTAAATAGGGAAGACATAACTACATGATGGGAAACAGGTGAGACCAATAAAGACAGTGTGAGACAGAGGGTTAAATAGGGAAGACATAACTACATGATGGGAAACAGGTGAGACCAATAAAGACAGAACAAGTAGAACTTCGATACATGGATCGGTAGCAGCTAGTACTCCGGTGACGACAAACGCCGAAGCCTGCCCGAGCAAGGAGGAGGGGCAGCCTCGGCTGAATCCGTGACAGTAGTGTGGTTTTATTGAGCACAGGGGAGGGTAGTGTGGTTTTATGTTTTATTATGGATCCCCATTAGCTGATGCCAAGGAAGCGGCTACTCTTCCTGGGGTTTATTATGGATCCCCATTAGTTCCTGCCAAGGCAGCAGCTACTCTTCCTGGGGTTTATTATGGATCCCCATTAGTTCCTGCCAAGGCAGCAGCTACTCTTCCTGGGGTTTATTATGGAACCCCATTAGTTCCTGCCAAGGCAGCAGCTACTCTTCCTGGGGTTTATTATGGAACCCCATTAGTTCCTGCCAAGGCAGCAGCTACTCTTCCTGGGGTTTATTATGGAACCCCATTAGTTCCTGCCAAGGCAGCAGCTACTCTTCCTGGGGTTTATTATGGATCCCCATTAGTTCATGCCAAGGCAGCAGCTACTCTTCCTGGGGTTTATTATGGATCCCCATTAGTTCCTGCCAAGGCAGCAGCTGCTCTTCCTGGGGTTTATTATGGATCCCCATTAGTTCCTGCCAAGGCAGCAGCTACTCTTCCTGGGGTTTATTATGGATCCCCATTAGCTGATGCCAAGGAAGCAGCTACTCTTCCTGGGGTTTATTATGGATCCCCATTAGTTCCTGCCAAGGCAGCAGCTACTCTTCCTGGGGTTTATTATGGATCCCCATTAGTTCCTGCCAAGGCAGCAGCTACTCTTCCTGGGGTTTATTATGGATCCCCATTAGTTCCTGCCAAGGCAGCAGCTACTCTTCCTGGGGTTTATTATGGATCCCCATTAGCTGAAGCCAAGGAAGCAGCTACTCTTCCTGGGGTCCAGCAACTTAAGGCAGTTATACATTTTTTAAAACATTACAATACATTCAAAACAAATTCCATAACATATTAAGTGTGTGTCCTCAGGCCTCTACTCTACTATCACATATCTACAACACAGAATCCATGTGTACGTGTTTGTTATCGTGTCTGTGCCTATGTGTGTGTCTCTTCACAGTCACCGCTGTTCTATAAGGTGTATTTTTATCTGTTTTTTTTAATCTGATTCTACTGCTTGTTATTTGGGTGGATATTGAGCACAGGGGAGCGTAGTGTTTTTTTACCTGGTTAGTATTGGTTCTTTCATAGTGACAATATAGTCTACCATTCTGTCTATCCTGCCCTCTATCCACCATTCATAGTGACAATAGTGGTAGGTGGATCATTTGTCCAGATATGCAATAGGTTAATTTGCAATCATACCACACACATAAAAGCATTCAAAAGCTGCACCAAGCTTCAATATGAATCGACAAGAACAAATAGGAATAGCTGATAGGCCAGGTGTGATAGGCAGCGGAGAGGCCAGCGGATAGGCCAGGTGTGATAGGCTAGCGGGATAGAGTGCCAGCGGAAGCAGCGGATAGGCAGTGATAGGCCAGCAGATAGGCCAGCTGATAGGCAGCGGATAGGCCAGCTGATAGGCCAGCGGAGAGGCCAGCTGATAGGCAGCTGATAGGCAGCGGATAGGCCAGCTGATAGGCAGCGGATAGGCCAGCTGATAGGCAGCGGATAGGCCAGCTGATAGGCAGCGGATAGGCCAGCTGATAGGCAGCGGATAGGCAGCGGATAGGCAGCGGATAGGCAGCGGATAGGCAGCGGATAGGCAGCGGATAGGCAGCGGATAGGCAGCGGATAGGCAGCGGATAGGCAGCGGATAGGCAGCGGATAGGCCAGCTGATAGGCAGCGGATAGGCAGCGGATAGGCCAGCTGATAGGCAGCTGATAGGCAGCGGATAGGCCAGCTGATAGGCAGCGGATAGGCAGCGGATAGGCCAGCTGATAGGCAGCGGATAGGCCAGCGGATAGGCCAGCGGATAGGCCATGATAGGCAGTGATAGGCAGCGGATAGGCCAGCTGATAGGCCAGCTGATAGGCCAGCTGATAGGCAGCGGATAGGCCAGCTGATAGGCCAGCTGATAGGCCAGCTAATAGGCAGCGGATAGGCAGCGGATAGGCCAGCTGATAGGCAGCGGATAGGCCAGCGGATAGGCAGCGGATAGGCCAGCTGATAGGCCAGCTGATAGGCAGCGGATAGGCCAGCGGATAGGCCAGCGGATAGGCCAGCTGATAGGCCAGCTGATAGGCAGCGGATAGGCCAGCTGATAGGCCAGCTGATAGGCCAGCTGATAGGCAGCGGATAGGCCAGCTGATAGGCCAGCTGATAGGCCAGCTAATAGGCAGCGGATAGGCAGCGGATAGGCAGCGGATAGGCAGCGGATAGGCAGCGGATAGGCAGCGGATAGGCAGCGGATAGGCCAGCTGATAGGCAGCGGATAGGCAGCGGATAGGCAGCGGATAGGCAGCGGATAGGCCAGCTGATAGGCAGCGGATAGGCAGCGGATAGGCAGCGGATAGGCAGCGGATAGGCCAGCTGATAGGCAGCTGATAGGCAGCGGATAGGCAGCGGATAGCCAGCTGATAGGCCAGTGATAGGCAGCGGATAGGCCCAGTGATAGGCAGCGATAGGCCAGCGATAGGCAGCGGATGGATCGGCCAGCTGATAGCAGCGGATAGGCCAGCTGATGGGCCAGCGGATAGGCAGCTGATAGGCCAGCGATAGGCAGCGATAGGCAGCGGATAGGCAGCGGATAGGCAGCGATGGGCCCAGCGGATAGCCAGCTGATGGGCCAGCTGATAGGCCAGCTGATAGGCAGCGGATGGGGCCAGCTGATAGGCAGCGGCGTAGGCCCAGCGATAGGCAGCGGATAGGCCAGCTGATAGGCAGCGGATAGCAGCGGATAGGCCAGCTGCTGATAGGCCAGCGGATAGGCAGCGGAATTAGGCAGCGGGATAGGCAGCGGATAGGCAGCTGATAGGCAGCGGATGGGCCCAGCGATAAGGAAGCGCGGATAGGCCAGCTGATAGGCAGCGGATAGGCCAGCGATAGGCCAGCTGATAGGCCAGCGATAGGCAGCGGAGAGGCCAGCGGATAGGCAGCTGAGAGGCCAGCGGATAGGCCAGCAGATAGGCAGCGGATAGGCCAGCTAATAGGCAGCGGAGAGGCCAGCTGATAGGCAGCGGAGAGGCCAGTGGATAGGCAGCGGATAGGCCAGCTGATAGGCCAGCGATAGGCAGCAGGCAGGATAGGCAGCTGATAGGCAGCGGATAGGCAGCGATAGGCAGCGGAAGGCCACCCTGGAGGGGGGCGGTTACCCAAAGCGGATAGGAAGCTGGGGGAAGGCAACAGGATGGCAGCGGATGGGGCAGCGGGATGGCCCAGCGAGGCAGCATGGGCACGGAAGGCAGCGGAGAGGCCAGGGGATAGGCGCGAGAGGCCAGCGGATGGGCCGAGATGGCAGCAAGGCAGCTGATGGGCAGGGGAAAGGGGGCCAGCAAAGGGGAAACCAGTGAAGGCACGGATGGCCAGCGATAGGAGCTAAAGGGGCCAGGGATGGCCCAAAAAGGGCCCAAATTAGGCAGTAATGGGGGGGGCCAGCGATAGGCAGCGGAGAGGCCAGGAAAAGCAGGGGAAAGGGCCCAGCGATGGGCCAAGGGGCAGAAGGCCAGGTGATGGCCGCTGAGAGGCCGGGTGATGGGCCCAGGTGTGGCCCCGCGGAGAGGCCATGTAGGCCGCGGAGGGAGGTAAAAGGGCCAGGTGTGATAGGCAGCGGAGAGGCCAGCTGTGATAGGCCAGCTGTGATAGGCCAGCAGATAGGCCAGCTGAGAGGCCAGGTGTGATAGGCAGCGGAGAGGCCAGGTGAATCATGAAAGAACAGTGAGACACGCAGCTCAAAAAGCTCCCCTATTGATCTTGTTTAGGGACAATAAAACTATCATACCTAGACTAGCCTACAACACCACAATGATCCTACCTAGACTACAACACCACAATGATCCTACCTAGACCAGCCTACAACACCACAATGATCCTACCTAGACCAGCCTACAACACCACAATGATCCTCCCTAGACCAGCCTACAAGACCACAATGCAATGAATAGTTGCATTATTGTTTAAGTGAGTACAAAATTCTACTCCAGGCTGCAGTGAAAATATAATTTGAATAAGGTCACGAAACCCCTGTGATTTGATTTGAACCATCAAGCTCCTATAACAATGTACCCTCAGTTATTCAGGAAAGCTTCTGCCTCACTCTGCCTCTCTCCAATCCAAGTGGCTATTCCTCAAGCACCTAGAATCTAACACTTCAATATAGCCCAAATATTTATCATTTAACTTTTCAAATGTATTACCTTTAAATTCTGATGTACCGAATAAATCCAAATTAAATGGTCATCATTTTAAACCCTACTGATGGTTTTGTCACTAATGTTGTGTAGGTAACCCCTAACCCCTAACCCTAACCCTAACCCTAATGTTGTGTAGGTAACCCCAACCCCAACCCCTAACCCCTAACCCCAACCCTAACCCCTAACCCTATGTTGTGTAGGTAACCCTAACCCTAACCCCTAACCCTATGTTGTGTAGGTAACCCTAACCCTAACCCAGTGTGCCCACTCTGGTGTTGGCATGTGCTCTCTAGCCAACAGCTGGCAGATACACTGCAGGTATAGCCTACTACATGAGATTATTATGGACAAAAGTGTGATATTTGTCTTTGTCAAATGGCAGCCAAGCGTCGATCATAATGTCACCAGAATAAGACCCTCAATATTTATTGGAAAGGAGCGTCAAGCTCATCACCGTGCACTCTCACCACCCTGTGAAGTTCATCATAACTTATTTCATCTGTAGCCTAAAACTGCATTCTTTCCCATGATGTCGTGAACATCCTTATTCAACATGTAGGTTACTGCATAAAAAGGTTGAAACCTGGTTAATGTCAAGCCATTGAGGAAACGAATCAATTAAAGAGAAATTGGAGAAAGTCAAAGTTGCAGGTCCATTATGATATTCTGAGAGAGCAACTTGGCATATATAACAAGGCATTTAGAAACGCCAGATGGCTAATTTTTCTAACTTGATCACTATTAAATCAGAATAATTCGAGTGTGCACTTCTCAACCATTGATGGCCTGATAAATCCTACCTCCGCAAACTTATGAGAACTTTCCTCCACATCTAAATATGATGAGTTTGCTGCATTTTTCAGAGATAAGAACCAACAGACATCAGTCAAGCAAGACCTGATGAGAAGTTTGATATGTGCCCTAGCCTACCACGCAAAGGCACTATGGATTTATTTTCCCTGGTTGACACAGACATGCTCAGGAAACTGATATCACAACTTAAGCCTTCTACCTGCCTGCTCGATCCTATCCCCACCACCTTCTTCAAAACAGTTTTTAATTGCATATCTGAAGAAGTGCAAGCTATTGTTAATCACTCCCCGTTCACAGACACTTTCCCCACTGCACTAAAAACTGCTATAATGAAACTCCTTCTGAAGAAAAGCAATCTAGATTCTTCAGCTCTCAGCAATTTTCAGCCAACCTTACATTCTTAAACAAAATTCTGGAGAAATTGGAGTTCAAACAGCTAAATTATTTTTTTAAAGTGCAAACTGTATTTTTGAACAATTCCAATCTGGTTTTTGTGCCCACCACAGCACAGAGACAGCCCTAGTTAAAGACAGCCTTAGTTAAAGACAGCCCTAGTTAAAGACAGCCCTAGTTAAAGACAGCCCTAGTTAAAGACAGCCCTAGTTAAAGACAGCCCTAGTTAAAGACAGCCCTAGTTAAAGACAGCCCTAGTTAAAGACAGCCCTAGTTAAAGACAGCCCTAGTTAAAGACAGCCCTAGTTAAAGACAGCCCTAGTTAAAGACAGCCTAGTTAAGACAGCCCTAGTTAAAGACAGCCCTAGTTAAAAGACAACCCTAGTTAAAGACAGCCCTAGTAAAGACAGCCCTAGTTAAAGACAGCCCTAGTTAAAGACAGCCCTAGTTAAAGACAGCCTTAGTTAGACAGCCTTAGCTAAGACAGCCCTTAGCTAAAGACAGCCCTAGTTTAAAGACAGCCTTAGTTTAAAGGACAGCCCTAGTTAAAGACAGCCCTAGTTAAAGACAGCCCTAGTTAAGGACAGCCCTAGTTAAAGACAGCCCTAGTTAAAGACAGCCTTAGCTAAAGTGGTAAATGATCTTAGAGCCAAACAGCTCTCTGTCCTTGTACTCTTAGATTTAAGTGCTGCATTAGACACTGTTGTCCATGATGTCCTTCTGGACAGACTGGAGAGGTGGTTGGCCTCTGTTGACCATGATGTCCTTCTGGACAGAATGGAGAGGTGGTTGGCCTCTGTTGACCACGATGTCCTTCTGGACAGACTGGAGAGGTGGTTGGCCTCTGTTGACCACGATGTCCTTCTGGACAGACAGGAGAGGTGGGTTGGCCTCTGTTGACCATGATGTCCTTCTGGACAGACAGGAGAGGTGGGTTGGCCTCTGTTGACCATGATGTCCTTCTGGACAGACTGGAGAGGTGGGTTGGACCTCTGTTGACCATGGTGTCCTTCTGGACAGACTGGAGAGGTGGTTGGCCTCTGTTGACCATGATGTCCTTCTGGACAGACTGGAGAGGTGGTTGGCCTCTGTTGACCATGATGTCCTTCTGGACAGACTGGAGAGGTGGGTTGGCCTCTGTTGACCATGATGTCCTTCTGGACAGACTGGAGAGGTGGTTGGCCTCTGTTGACCATGATGTCCTTCTGGACAGACTGGAGAGGTGGGTTGACCATGATGTCCTTCTGGACAGACTGGAGAGGTGGGTTGGCCTCTGTTGACCACGATGTCCTTCTGGACAGACTGGTGAGGTGGTTGACCTCTCCGGTCCAGTTCTAAATTGGTTTAGGACCTATTTAACTGGTTGAAAGTTTTGTCACCCTTGGTGAACATAACTCAGAGAGAATACATATCACATGTGGTGTTCCACAAGGTTAGATTTTGGGTCCGGTACTGTTCAGTTTATATATGTTACCCCTTGGCAGCATTATCAGAAAGCACAGCGTTGATTTTCACTGCTACGCAGACGATACACAACTTTAATTTATCTGGAGCTAAAATCCTCTGGTGACACAAATGTAGACTGTATTAGTGATTTAAATACTTGGATGGCTCACAACTTCCTCCAGCTAAATCAAGACAAGACCAAGGTACTTATTGTTTGAGCCAAAGCACAGAGAGAGAATCTTGCCGCACATTTGAATTCACGGTGTGGTGGCAGAATTTGGGCTGTTGTAACTTCAAAGGATATGTTCTGTGTTGGACTGTGATGTTATGCCTTTCATAGACTCCTGGTACGTCTGCACCCTAACACAAGGAACTGTTGCTTGTATAAAGAACTGTTGTGTAACAATATGATTGTATTATTACCTCCCACTATATAAGGGACATGGAACCATGACAACTATTACAGATGTTTCTATTATCATGAAATAGTCTCTGCCTTAATTTTTGGATCTAATTTTCCACAACAGGCAATAAAGATAAAAGTCCAGGTAAAAACCCAGGTGTTATTTTAGATTCTGAACTACATTTTGAATCACGCATCACGAATGTGACCAAAATAGCTTTTTACCACCTGAGGAATATTGCCAAGGTGCGTCCGTTTCTCTCTCAGGCTGATACAGAGAGACTCATCCATGCTTTTATTACAAGCAGGCTTGACTACTGTAATGCTCTCCTGTCTGGTCTACCCAAGAAAGGCATTGGTCAACTGCAAAACATACAGAATGCTGCAGCACGGGTACATTTACATTTACATTTTAGTCATTTAGCAGACGCTCTTATCCAGAGCGACTTACAGCCATACCTACTGTGAAGCATGGGGGTGGAAACATCATGCTTTGGGGCTGTTTTTCTGCAAAGGGACCAGGACGACTGATCCGTGTAAAGGAAAGAATGAATGGGGCCATGTATCGTGAGATTTTGAGTGAAAACCTCCTTCCATCAGCAAGGGCATTGAAGATGAAACGTGGCTGGGTCTTTCAGCATGACAATGATCCCAAACACACCGCCCGGGCAACGAAGGAGTGGCTTCGTAAGAAGCATTTCAAGGTCCTGGAGTGGCCTAGCCAGTCTCCAGATCTCAACCCCATAGAAAATCTTTGGAGGGAGTTGAAAGTCTGTGTTGTCCAGCGACAGCCCCAAAACATCACTGCTCTAGAGGAGATCTGCATGGAGGAATGGGCCAAAATACCAGCAACAGTGTGTGAAAACCTTGTGAAGACTTACAGAAAACGTTTGACCTGTGTCATTGCCAACAAAGGGTATATAACAAAGTATTGAGAAACTTTTGTTATTGACCAAATACTTATTTTCCACCATAATTTGCAAATAAATTCATTAAAAAACCTACAATGTGATTTTCTGGATCTTCCCTCTCAATTTGTCTGTCATAGCTGACGTGCACCTATGATGAAAACTACAGGCCTCTCTCATCTTTCCAAGTGGGAGAACCTGCACAACTGGTGGCTGACTAAATACTCCCTTCCCCCACCGCATCTAATATGTGCAATACAGTGAGAATATATTCATCTCTGCAGTAGGGCATCAGGAACATACAGTACATTAACAGCCTACATACAGAGTTAGTATAGGGAAACACTTTTGCAAAAAGCCTTAATAACAAAGGAGGGGAACACACAAACCCCAATCACCATGTCTAAGGTTAAGTTACAAAGCATGCATTTATAGTCAAACAAAATAGTCAATGGGATTTCTCAAATGTGCCCATAGTCAAGTAAAAGTGAGATAATAAAGCATGCATCTATGATATAAACCTTAACTGCAAGATAGCCTCTTGACTTCAACATTCTGCCCTTATTGTCAGTCACATTTTCCAGGGCAGAGTTCTTGGAGCTCGAAGTCCAGGAGTAAGATTGTTTGTAGTGCATGGCTCAGGCCTGTTCTGACTGATCAGGTTTGTGGACACTCCCCATACGAAAGGCACTGAAGAAATATCAGCCTCTTTATCCCAGTCCTCATCACAGTTGGTGTTTGTCCACGTGCTAACAGGTACCTGCCATTTGGTCTGCACCTCAGCGCTGCCCAAGTCTTCTGCATTCACAGATATTCTGTCAACACAGTTAGCAATGTGGTGTGAAAGCTCATGCTTGGGCATCAGGTGGCGGGCGTTGAAAGGGCACGTTTTTAATTCACTGGCCAGTTTAGGGTGGTTCTTGCTGCACTTGATCAGATGGTATGGAAAGCGGCAGGCACGGATCTGATGGTTCTTGTCGTATGGACACTGAAGGAGTTTATTTGGATCACAGGCATCTTCTGGATCAGCCATTTCCCCCTCCTCATCATTCCATCGTGGCAATGTCTCAGTAGCATCGTGGCAATGTAGGTCCCTCAGGGTACTGACCAAGACCAGACGGAGAGCACACATTACACCGGTTTTAAGGTCTCTGCACTGGATGCCTGTGAGTTTTACAATTAATTGTAAGATTATTCTATTGGTTTTTAAATCAATCCATGATTGTTCGCCCCAATACATGTCAGACATGCTTTTAAGTTATGTACCCAGTAGGTCCCTCAGGTCCTCTGGCAGTGGCCTTTTAACTATCCCAAACCCAGGACCAAGAGGGATGGAGAGGCAGCCTTTAGTTACTATGCCCCCAGCCTAACAGCCTGCCAGAGAACCTGAGGGGGGCTGAAACTGTGGACATGTTTAAAAGAGATCTTAAAACACATCTTTTTAGCTTTGCTTTTCCTCAGGAGGCTTTTTAGTCGTTCAGTTTATCATTCTTTTGTTTTTTTATCTTATGTTTGTGTAGTAAATATTTCAGCTTTTTAATAAAAGAAAAAAGTTTTTTTTCTGTGAAGCACATTGCGTTGCATTCCATGTCTGAAATATATATGTATAAATAATGCTTGATTTGATTTTTAGGATGCTGGAATTATATTTTGGATGAACGTGTGCAGGTAGCCTACAGGAGACTTTTGAAGTAGCCTAATCAGATTACAACTGGTTGTGTCAAGTTATTTTTATACAATGTATTTACGCAGAGACTTTTATCTGCAGCAAGTCAATTTGATGGGAACTGAAGGGAAAGTGAGGCAGGGTTTCCCTGAGCCGGAAAACACAAAACAAATACGATTCTAGCAGGCCAAATTGTCAAGGAGAGACTGTCTATCATAGCCTACACCCTGAATTTGCTTCAGCACCATTCTCTCCCACCTTGCACGCATGTGAGCCTGCTGCTGAGGAGAGAGAGCAAGAGAGGAGCCTTGGCCTAGGCCACTGTTGATTGTGAAGATGGAGACCTTTTTCATTGAAACAAAAGAGTGAAAAGCCTACAAGGGGAATTTAATACATTTTAATATTGTAGTGGAAGATGAGAAGAAAGTTGGCATGGCAACGCAGGCTACTGTGCAACTCCTTATTCAGGTCGGATGCAATTTTGGAACGTACGTTTATTTAAAATCATTTGTTGTATCATTATTATTGTATATCATTATTATTGTAGGCCTATTTCTTAAATTAAAACCAGTTTTTTAAATATGCAAAACCTGTTTAATTCTGTTAAGATTTTGTCATTGTGTCAGGGGTGCTGAAGGTGGGTGTGGTGCATGAATCAAGCGCAGGACGCAGAGGCTCAGCCCAAAAGACTTTAGTGCAATATTCACGTAGAGAAATAAGCACAATAAGCCCGAAGGCGAAATAACGGCGCACACAGGCGTCAAATAAACGGCGCACTAACATGTGCGAAAAACCTCTCCAAAACACTGGAGGGAAGTACGTAGCTCCAACACGAAACAGATGAGCAATCACACACAAAGACAAACACACACAACGAGAACTAAATAGGACACTAACGAGGACTAACAAGACACAGGTGTACAACATCAAGACAAAACCAAACGAACATGAAACATAGATCGGTGGCAGCTAGTACTCCGGGGACGACGACCGCCGAAGCCTGCCCGAACCAGGAGGAGGAGCAGCCTCGGCCGAAACCGTGACAGTACCCCCCCCCCTTGACGCGCGGCTCCAGCCGTGCGCCGACCCCGGCCTCGGGGACGACCAGGAGGACGCGGAGCAGGGCGCGCGGGATGGTCCCGCTGGAACTCCGACAGGAGAGATGGGTCTAGGGTGTCCCTCCGCGGCACCCAGCACCGCTCCTCCGGGCCGTACCCCTCCCACTCCACGAGATACTGGAGACCCCCCATCCGGCGTCTGGAGTCCAAGATGGACCGAACGGTGTACGCCGGAGCCCCCTCGATGTCCAGTGGGGGCAGAGGAGTCTCTCCTATCTCATTGTCCTGGAGTGGACCAGCTACCACCGGCCTGAGAAGAGACACATGGAACGAGGGGTTAATGTTCTTATACTCAACAGGTAGATGTAACCTATAACACACCTCGTTCGATCTTCTCAGGACTTTAAAGGGCCCCACAAACCGCCGACCCAGCTTCCGGCAGGGCAGGCGGAGGGGTAGGTTTCTGGTAGAGAGCCAGACTCGATCTCCGGGTGCGTACACCGGCCCCTCACTGCGGTGGAGATCGGCGCTCGCCTTTTGACGAAGGACGGCCCGCTGCAGGTGGACGTGGGCAGCGTTCCACGTCTCTTCCGAGCGCCTCATCCAATCATCCACCGCAGGGGCCTCGATCTGGCTCTGCTGCCACGGTGCCAGAACCGGCTGGTAACCTAATACACATTGGAAGGGGGTTAGGTTGGTAGAGGAGTGGCGGAGAGAGTTCTGGGCCATCTCGGCCCAGGGAATGTACCGTGCCCACTCCTCAGGCCGGTCCTGGTAATACGACCTCAGAAACCTACCCACATCCTGGTTGACACGTTCTACCTGCCCGTTACTCTCCGGGTGGTACCCTGAGGTAAGGCTAACCGAGACCCCCAAACGCTCCATGAATGCTCTCCAAACACGGGAGGTAAACTGGGGGCCTCGATCAGACACTATATCCTTGGGCACCCCGTAATGCCGGAAGACGTGGGTAAATAGGGCCTCAGCGGTCTGTAGGGCAGTAGGAAGACCCGACATAGGGAGAAGACGACAGGCCTTAGAGAACCGGTCCACAACGACCAGGATGGTGGTATTCCCCTGAGAGAGGGGAAGGTCTGTCACAAAATCCACCGAGAGGTGGGACCATGGTCGTTGTGGAACGGGCAGGGGTTGTAACTTACCCCTGGGCAGATGTCGGGGCGCCTTACACTGGGCGCACACCGAGCAGGAGGAGACATAAACCCTCACATCCCTAGCCAAAGTAGGCCACCAGTATTTAGTGCTAAGGCAATGCACTGTCCGGCCAATACCCGGATGTCCAGAGGAGGGTGACGTGTGAGCCCAGTAAATGAGTCGATCCCGAATCTCGAGCGGAACGTACTTCTGACCCTCAGGGCACTGTGGAGGGCTGGGGTCGGTACGCAACGCTCGCTCGATTTCGGCATCGACCTCCCACACCACCGGTGCCACAAGGCAAGACTCCGGTAGTATGGGAGTAGGCTCAACGGACCTCTCCTCCGTGTCATACCGCCGGGACAGCGCATCTGCCTTACCATTCTGGGACCCAGGGATGTACGTGATTTTAAATACGAACCTGGTGAGAAACATACTCCATCGAGCCTGGCGAGGGTTCAGTCTCCTCGCTGCCCGGATGTACTCCAGGTTCCGATGGTCAGTCAAAATGAGGAAAGGGTGTTGAGCCCCCTCAAGCCAATGCCTCCACACCTTAAGGGCTTGAACTACAGCTAACAGCTCCCTGTCCCCAACGTCATAGTTACGCTCCGCCGGGCTGAGCTTTTTAGAGTAAAAAGCACAGGGGCGGAGTTTAGGTGGCGTGCCGGACCGTTGAGAGAGAACGGCCCCTATACCTGCCTCAGACGCGTCCACCTCGACCTGAAAGGGTAATGCGGGATCCAGATGCGCCAGCACCGGAGCCGACGTAAACAGGTCCTTCAGTCTCCCAAAGGCCCTGTCCGCCTCAGCTGACCACTGCAGGCGCACCGGACCCCCTTTCAGAAGGGACGTGATGGGAGCTGCCACCTGTCCAAAACCCCGGATAAACCTCCGGTAGTAATTCGCAAAGCCCAAGAACTGCTGCACCTCTTTTACAGTGGTTGGGGTTTGCCAATTACGCACAGCGGACACACGATCCACCTCCATTCTCACCCCTGACGCGGACAACCGATAACCCAAAAAGGAGATCGACTCCTGGAAAAACAGACATTTCTCTGCCTTGACATATAGGTCGTGCTCCAACAGCCTCCTCAATACACGACGCACCAGGGTTACATGCTCGGCTCGGGTAGACGAGTACACCAGAATATCATCAATGTACACGACCACCCCTTGTCCCTGCATATCCCGGAAAATGTCATCTACGAAGGATTGGAAGACTGATGGAGCATTCATCAACCCATATGGCATGACAAGATACTCGAAATGACCTGACGTGGTACTAAACGCTGTCTTCCATTCATCGCCCTCCCTAATGCGCACCAAGTTATACGCGCTCCTGAGATCCAATTTTGTGAAAAACCGCGCTCCATGCAATGACTCCGTCATGGTCGCAATCAGAGGGAGTGGATAACTGTACTTCACAGTAATCTGATTGAGACCACGGTAATCAATGCACGGGCGCAACCCTCCATCTTTCTTCTTCCCAAAAAAGAAGCTTGAGGAGGCGGGAGAAGTGGAGGACCGAATGTATCCCTGTCTCAAAGATTCGGCTATGTAAGTCTCCATAGCTTTTCTCTCCTCTTGAGACAAAGGATACACATGGCTCCGTGGGAGCGCTGCTCCTGCCTGGAGATCAATCACACAATCCCCCTGTCTATGAGGAGGCAACTGCGTCGCCCTAGTTTTACTAAACACAAGAGCTAAATCCCCATATTCAGGCGGAATGTGCAGTGCGGGCACTTGGTTTGGACTTTCCACCGAAGTCGCCCCCACGGAAACACCCAGACATCGCCCCTCGCACTGAGCAGACCACCCATCGAGAGCCCTCTGTTGCCACGAAATAGCAGGGTTATGGGTGCTTAACCAGGGAATTCCCAGCACCACTGGGTACGCAGGAGAGTCGATCAGATACAGCTGTATAGTCTCTTCATGACCCCCCTGCGCACACATCCTAAGTGGCGCTGTGATCTCCCTAATCAACCCCGACCCCAACGGGCGGCTATCTAAGGCATGAACGGGAAAAGGTTTGTCAACAGGTAGGAGAGGGATCCCTAAATCTAAACAAAACTTCCGATCAACAAAATTCCCAGCTGCGCCTGAATCTACTAGCGCCTTATGCTGGGAATAAGGTGCAACCTGTGGAAAACAAACAGG